GATGGATGGATGGATGGATGGATGGATGGATGGATGGATGGATGGATGGATGGATGGATGGATGGAATTGACTGGATTATTATTGTACTACAATGAATTGGTTTCTAATAGCCTTTAATCAGTTGACCCATTCAAAATTGTCTGTGCTGCAGATGAAATGAAAAAAAAACTTTTCAAATGCCGCATCGATGACAGAATAGGAGACGAGCTTCTGTCTAGCTGAGATTTCTGGAGGGTGTAATGCTCACCAGTCATTCTGAATAGATCAGAAATTCAGACAAAAAAACTGCAGACTCCATCAGCTTCTGGCTTCAGGAATACAAAGATACATTTTACTCATGTACATGAACAAGTGTTTTGTGTGTTCTGTTCCTGTTCTCTTGCATGACTTAAAAGTAATACCTCAATGGGAAGTGAGATTAGTTTGTCTTAGTTTAATGTTTTTGTGTTTGTCCACAGAAGGTTAGAAGTTGTTTTCAGGTTATCAAGGAGATTTTTTTTTAGTTAACATGAAAAACTATATTATATAAGGCAGTTACATTTTAACATACTCTAAAAGGATGAGCTATTTCGGATGTGATCTCTTAGACATCACATTGAGAGTCATTTCAAATACAAATCAGATCCCATACTCACAGCTCTTAAACCTGACAGTAAATCGGAGTTAGAAGTGAGAGGCTTGTGGGGATTTATTGTCATCAACAGATAAGATTGAACTTCTCAGAAACCTCATTGAGTTTTCACTTCTGTCAGCCAAGAGAATGTGGTTTGACAGAGATATGACTGTAAATCCAGTTACGGTATAAAGAACCTGAAAGTGTTAGTCTTTTGCTTTTTTAAATTATGATTGATATGAATTACAGTGTGTGTGGTTGTTTGTCTCTGTGTGGCCCTTTGTAGTCACCCCTCGCCTGTTGTTAGCTGTGAAAAAGCTCCAGTACCCCCCGCAACCCTGTTTGGAATAAGCAGTATAGAAATTGGATGGATGATCTCTTTACTCGTGCAACGTGAAAGTGAAACGTCGCTTTTCAATGTGTCCTCCTGAAAGACTGTGTGAGAAAACATTCGTGGTATTCATGGGAGATCACCATGCAAGCAGGTATAACTGAATTCAACTGCACAGTTATTGTTCCAATCAGTTGAAAAAACAGTACAGAGTGAGGAAAGGTTCATTACTGGAAGTCGCCCATCAGCCTAGGCCATAACTATAAGCTCAAAAAGGAACGTTTAAAGCCTAATCTTAAAGGTTGAGAGGAACCAAAATGATAGTTTGATAGATTGATCCAGAGAATAATTCCTAATAACTGAGGCTCTGCTTCTTATTCTACTTTTAGAAACTTTGAGAAAATCTCGGAACCACAAATAGACCTTCAGCTATTAAGAGCTTCGTTTATGAGGAGCAGACTTTTAATTTTGACTTTATATTCAACAAGGTGCCAAAGACAAAAAGTTTCAACTAGATATTATTTATTTTTCTATTTTTCAGCAGTAGTAAATGAACTACATTCTTTTAATTACTTATATGCCAGAGTATGATTTTTTACATTTGTACATATCTTGGTGGATGATTTATTTCAACATACTATTACACACTCTATGACAATGTATGTAATGAATGATAATCTTATGAATGATACAATTATACTATAAATTATTATGACAATAAATAAATATCATAATAAATAATCATTTTTCATTTTGAAATAGGTGGGATTTCTTATTGGAAGTATAACTGTGACTTCTGAGGGAAAGCTGTTAAATTCAAAACAGGGGAGTAAATGCACTCTTTTGAATCCAAGCATTAAATGATCACTTTGTTCTTTTAATTGGAGTTGGATTTTTTTATTGTAATTAAATAGATGAAAAGGTGTATATACATCTCAGCTTCATGGATGCTAAAGTATATTAATAACTATATGTGCAGTTTGAGAAGAGGAATTCAAGCACATTTAAATTGAGAAATAGACGTTAAATAGGTCATTTTGTGGCTGTGAGCTACGAAATTTTTCTAAATTTATTTCCATGTGAACTGAACTTTAAACTAGTTCACGTGATGGATGTACATGCAACCCGCCGACCGCATTATCTTTGTTTTGTGCTTAGTGTCAAGTGTCAAGCTGCAACAGAGTTAATGTGCAATTTTTGCATAGAACATCTGAGGTTTCTGCACTGACATTGGCACTGGATAGCAGAGCCATAGAGGATTCTTTAAATATAGCCATAGCAGCATCAGCTAGGAACCTATATCATTTAATTTAGACACTTTGGTTCCTTTGAATTTTGCTTTTGATCTGATGCATTTTACCGGAGAAATCATTTCCACATGTACTCACTGTGACTGTAATGGGGTTTTGATCTATCTCAAAGTTTCCAGTAAGTAAGCTATTTCAAAACCTACCCTCAAACCCACAAGTGTGAGATGCCACAAAGTGGCAAATTATCATAAGTTCTGGTTTGGTCTGATTTGTTCACACACTAACTATATCATACAAGGAAGTATTTCATGAAGTATTTTGTATTTAGTTGTTCAAATTTATAGTCTTTATGTGGGTTCAACTACCACCAAGTGGTCTAAAAAATGCTATTAAATAAACATATCAAGTAAAGTTCCATGTTTAGAACAAAAACAAGGAACAAAATAGAGGAATAAAAGAAAAACTTACACTCAACTTTTACAGAGTAGTGTAAAGGAAAGCTACTTTCTGTATACTTACTCTGGGATAGAAAGTATATTATATAAAACAAGGATGTAAAAAACAAAGTTTGTTAAGATGTTATGTGATATCTATGATGTGGGAAAATATGATCCTATAGCTGCATAAAAAACAGGTGTCAGCCATATCTAAGATTAGCCATATAAACTATATCTAAGATAAGCCTTAGATAATTTATGTCTAACTTTGAAAAACAAATTCTGTTTCAAATCTGTGCTTCTTAAAACATTAAAAAACATAAGGGGGTTAGCTGACACTACGTCAGTAACCACACTTCTTGCCGAGTTAGAATAATTTCCTGTTACTCTTTTCCTCTCTCCGACATATAAAGAGAAGAGGAAGTAACTATTTGTGTGTGCTCTGCTTCGGCTGATGAAACACTGAAACATTGTTCTGCTCTTCAGGTAGACAAACTGTAAAGAACAGTATGAGAAATTTGTTTTATGCTGTGAGTTTCAGCTGCATCATGGTGGTGGGTCTGCCTCTCAATGTTGTGTCGCTTTGGATTTTACATCATCGCCACAGCTTCAAATCACCAAATGCTGTCTTCATGATCAACTTGGCCATCTCAGACTTGCTGCTCATCATCTCCTTGCCCATGAGAATCTACTTTTACGCTACAGGCAGCTGGATTCTCGGCAAACTGGCTTGCGTCTCAGTCACAATGCTGTTTCGCAACAACCTCCGCTCCAGCTCAATCTTCATGACCTTCATCAGCGTGGACAGGCTGCTTGCCGTGGTTTATCCCCTTAGGTCACGGCACCTTCGTACCATATCCAGTGCTGTAAAAGGCTCGGTGCTCGCTTGGCTGTTTGTGTTGCTGCTGAATATCCAGGAGGGTTTTGATTTTTACCGAAGCACTGACAACGGCACAAAGACTTGTTTCGAATATGTTCTTCCCAAGGATAACGGGAAACCATCTTACGTCTACTGCCATCTTGTGCTTGAGCTCATATTGATGGTTGTCAACATTGTGTGCACTGTTATGGTATTTTGGACTCTACGCAGTCATGTCAATGAGTCTGCAACAGTCAATAATAAGGTGAATATTTTGCTCATTTTTTGTCTGAACTTGGTTATGTTCATCATATGCTTCCTGCCAGTGTCCATCGGACCAGTAACAATTAGTAACAGTTCTGAGCTCACACCCATGATATGTCTTGCCAGTGTGAACTGCTGTTTGGATCCATTGTTATATTACTTTTCACTTGATGCCTTCTGGAAGAAAAAAGTGGAGGTTGAAATGGCAAGAGAACAGATGACAAAGGAAACACATAGCCATGAAGCTTCGTAAGATGTCCCATTTATCATTTTGACTTTGCCCTGCTTTATAATGTTTTATTTTTTGATTGTAACTTATTTTTCACTCTCAGTAAAATACAGTTTCTTTTTTTCTTCTTAAATGCTGTGACTAGAATTTACTGCCCTTTCAATATGGTTGGAAAGAGTGGGTCTTTTAGGCTGCTAGATTACTGACGCCACCTATGTTTGCATTAAAGGAGAAGAGTGAAAACATGTTGGCATGACGTCTCTAATGAACTCTGGACAATTGAAGTTCATCATGGTAAAACTGAGGAAATCTTACAGACAAATCCGTATTCTACAAATGTGTATTGAACGCTCTCAATCACCTTATCTGATGCTCTTTCGGACAGTTTTTTTTTTTGTCAAACTATACTTGGCAGAAAAGTAACGGTTCCAGTATTTTGTAGCCAACTGAATGAACATTGTGTTATTTTCACATATCCAGCAAACTATAAAAGGTTAACACTGCCTTCGTGTTGTCCATTTCTTTGTATACATAATTGGAAGGCTTTGATGGTTCCAGCTCTCTTCTCTCTTAAAATAAAGTCTAACAAGCAATCACTGGATCTGATTTCAGAATCTATTCATACACAAAGCAGTTTTATGCAGTTGCAGATTGAGTCCCCTTGGGACAGTCATTTTGAAACTAGCTGGTTAAGATGCTTAAAGAAAACTTGACTATATAGGCTTTGTTGTAAATTCTAGTACGTAATCCAATTAAAAAATGAGATTATTGCACAGATAATAGAATGAGGATTTAATTGGGCGATACCAGCTATTCTTCCAGAATAGCTATCATCTTAGACGTCTTTATATCCAGGTAATTGTCTCTTGGTACAGCAGCTCTATGTTTGTTGGATTCATAAAAGCTATTCATGACCTAATTTTTTTTCTTGTGAAGTAAAATGATCAGTGATGATTAATGCTTAGAGGCCTCTTTGTAAAACTGAACTTCTGCTAACAACAGTTATACCCGTCTCATCATTTGAAACTGACACATACGTTTTCTTATTTTTAGCATTTGACAGTGTGTGACTCTCTCGTGTGTTTTCTGACATCAATTCTATTTTTGTGACGCAGACTGTCCTCTGTGTGAAACTTCATATTAGAGCCAATAGCTCGAGTTCTAAGCCTCCTCCAGATGGAAGGAGTGTCACGGTAAGCCCAAAGCAGACTGTGAGGATAGAAGACCTCTTTTGCGGAATTAAAGTGATTCTACACTGATTGCTGCAGGGTTGACCTCTGGACGCGTGTTGTATGCAGAATTTCTACTTCAAATGGAGCATAAGGAAATGCAAATGTAAATTAAACATGGGCCTCCTTTATTATCAACATAGAGAGAGGCAACCCAAAAATAAGACGTGCTGTTGTCACAGTGAAAAAGGAGAGTGTGATACAAGAGCAATACGGAGGATTGCATCAGAGAATTTTTTCAGGTTGAATTTGACGCAATAAAAAACAAACAACCAAATAATTTCATAATCATAAAGGTTGTTTTGGTTTATTTCTGAATTATATCGTATTTCAGAAATACAAATCTGACATATTTAAGCCTCTTACTTAGAAATTGATTCACTGGGAAACGTTGTTTTTCTAAAACAAACACAGCATCATGTTAGAAAGTCTCCAATAATCTTGCAGTTGTATTTTGAAATAAATAAAACAATCAGAAAGAAAACATTCTGTCAGAAAATTACAGTTCTGATCTTATACCACTGATTTTCAACATTGAACAAAATCTGGTGCTCATCATATCTTAAAAGTAAACTGACAAGAGCTCAGAAGAACAACTTCACATGTGCTTCATATATTTAATTTCTTTAAATCAGCATTTTTTTTTCGCATGGCAAGTTGCATCCAAATCAAAAATACTTGGTCACGTTGTAACCAAACAAAATAATTCCGCCTCTTACCCACATTGGGTAAAGAGTTGGCCTCATTTTGAAACCACAGCACTTGTACATCTAGCGGCTGATTTAGTCACAAACCTCTCTGTGTATGAAAGCTATAGGAAAAAAAGATTTTTTCCTTGTTGTTGAACTTGTCTTCAATGGGCTATCATTTATCTCCGTGGGTTGAGTAGGCGGTATATATACTGTATAGAGTTTCTGAACTTCTATGCATGGAGCCTAGGTTTTGATTTCAGCTCATGGCCCTTTCCCACGTGTCCAACCCCCTTTCTGTTGTGCCACTTTCAAATAAAGGCCATCAGCGCCAACAAAGCCTTTAAAAAAAATGAAAAAGTCTTAACTCTTTTTAGGTCTATTTTATCTAATGACAGAAGAACTAAATATAATCTGAGAACATCTTTTCTCAGGAAAAAAACTGTATATTTATGTATTGTGTATCACATAAGTGTAAAAAGTTGATTTTGGACAAAAGAAATCCAACATCTTACACCCTGCACAATTTATGAACACTTTGTAGACTTTACATTTCAACTCTAGTGGCATGCGTTACTTTCAAAACAGAGCCTAGTGCATCTTTTATGCAATTTGGTATCATGTGCAAAAGTACGGTGGCAGATTGGAAAGTTGCTCCGAACTTCAACTGGTGCGCATCATAGCTGTCAAGATGTGTGCTCACACTAGCAAAGGTGTGAATTCTGTGAGTGTTTTTTTTTTGTGTGAATTTTTTTAAAAGCCTAGCTATTTTTAGTTTTTGTTTTAGAGGACGTTCCTGTTGAGGTGTAAAAGCTTGCAGCTGAATAAGCCTAAACCTTTGAAAAAAAATGGTATTATACAGGCAAAAGTAAACATATTCAATGGTGAAAATTTGGTACACTTTACAACAGTTGGTGCCACAGGGTCTTAGTGTGGAACTGAAAATATCAGTGCCTAATATTGTCATGCATTTCAGTTTCCAAAAAATAAAGCCCCAATGATTCTTAGATTTTTTTACTTTATTCACAGACAGAATTAATTTGCAGACAAAATATACAGCTCAAAGTTGGTTTTCTTCAGCAAACGTGTAAGATAAATATGTTCCTTTCCATTTTTTTTTTTTACTTTAGTCCAGTCTCTGACTCTGGACTAAGGCTTTAAACCTTTAAACAAAACATCCTAAGAGTGCCATTTCCGCTCATAGCTGAACACATGCAAAGGAAAAATAAAGATAATTGTTTTCAACTATGTCATATTAATACATGTCATGTGGCGATGGGGAGAGATACTAAAGACGGACACAAAGAATCCATGTCTTCCTGTGGTGCGATGATTGAAAAAAAAAAAAAGTCTAAGCTCAGATGCTGTTTTGTGACTGTCCTTTTTAGCAGATGAAAAGCAAAAAGGAAGATGCATTATGCAGAAAGCAGGCAATATACAAACAAGCAACTAAACAGAGGATATATACAAATGCTTGTTCAGAAATGACCTCATGCTTTGCACAGATGGCTGTTGGTACAACTAAGAAAACACAATGAACCTCTCTCTGGGGTCTCTGAAAAAGCAAAGCAGTCACCTTGACAACACATAGAGACAGTAACCATCACACAAATCCCCAAAGAGAAAGCAGATAGATGTTGAAATTATCCTTTATTATTGAATTAAGGATTTGCTACATGGAAAATCCTGTGATAGAACCAACTAAGTAGTATTGCATCACCCTTTCAGGTAAAAACATAAAACGAGCCGAGAGAAACACTGGAAAAAAAAAAAAAATCACAAGTAAAGTGCAATTCAGATATGAGCAGATCCACAGGAGGTTGCTACAGGTGCTGGGGTAGTGACTGGAGATGTGCTTTTAAGTTTGGGTGGTTCCTCTAATGATTCTACGCTTCATCGCAGATCATCGTCTCCACCACAAATGTATTCTCAAAGTGACGGATGTGGTGGCAGTCCTTCGCCTCTCGCTTGTTGATGCCTGAAAGAGGTAAACAAAAAAAGAGGGGATCAGTCCCTTTACTTGGCTTGCTGGAACCCAGGTCTGATCAGATTGACCGAAAACTTACGCCGGCGGGTGAGACGCCGGTTCAGACGGTACGTGTCCTTCCCGTTGCACAGGCGGTAGATAAACGGTCCCAGCTGGCGCATGTTGTGCACTTTTCCAGTCACCACCATCTCCTCATGGATGATGTAAGTCTGAGGGAGGTATGTTCCCTTCTGCAGGACAAAGACAGAACAACAAGCTCTGTCAGACATATTTGTGTCCAAGATTACGATACATTTTGCCAAAAGCAGGAACAGACAGTGCTGAACAAATGTAACCAGACAAGGAAAGCTCTTTTAGATGTAAATGTTTTTGTTTAATTTATTTTAATGCTGATGAGTCATCCTTCCCTTTGCAATGAATAATCCAATTCATGGAATGAATACTCGTAACAAAACTTCTCAAGTGTCAAGTCCCTCACACAAAAATGTTTCTGATCAGTCAGAGATCACAGGCCTTTTTGGGAAGGCAGTGTATTTCCAGCCGTCGTGCAGCCATCAGTCATATCACACAAACTGTGACTATGAGACAACCACATCCTTTAATACTGCATGTTTGTTACCTTTACATTGATGAGAAGCTCCCAAAGGTTCCTTGGAGGCATCACAATGGTAGTGTTGAGCTCAATAACATAGCACTTGTCGAGAGCAATGTCATGGTAAGCAGTCAGTCCCTGGAAAAGAAAAAAGGGAAGATTTCAACATTTCAGGCAAACATATCTGGTATGAGCTTTACTCTTAGGCAACTTGACTATTTGTCTAAGGGTCTCTCAGGTACGAGCCTCCAGGCATCTTGAAGGATATTCAAAAGCACAACTTTGGAATGTCGCTGGGTTTTTGTTTGCTTCAGTATCTTGATGACCCTACACTACTAAGGTTTGGTGATTCATCACTCCAAGACATGTCATCACTTATTACTCTTGTTAAATCAACTGGACTGAAAATATTAAATAATTCTGCCCAAATGTACTAAAAAAAATATTGGAAGAGCCATCAGCTTGGGGACATTGAGAAATGTTGCCAAAGAAACACTTAAAAATGTATTTATTTAAAAAAAAAAAAAAAGGAGGAATCGCCAGCAGTTTGAAAAACAATTTCATGTCCACATAAAAGAAATCCTATGGATTTTGGTTGTCGGTTAACTTTTCATTCTGAAAACAACCATCAGGTTTTTTGGATAATCTGCTTGAAAGTCCCTAAATCCTCAGACTGTGCCATTTCATAGAAAGGTTACCCATTACGCAATGCAAGCAATGGAACTGAAAACTGTTCCATTTTAAGTGTGCATATGACAACTGAAAGTATTTTCTATTTACATTTCCCATATAATACATTTCATTACCAATTTGTCATGCTTTTTATTTGTCTTTTGTGAATTCATGATGTAAAGCACTTTGAATAGTCTTGTGTCTGTCCTCACCCTGTGGAAGTCGTGGATTATATCAGCTGGGTCGCTGCCACCAAAGTGGGGCACAGGCACAGTGATCTTCTCGTAGTTGTCGGCCAGGTAGATCCCAACGTTTTCCTCTAGCTCCTGGCGCCCCCGCAGCGGCGCATACTCGGAATCCTCATAAAGCACCCTGCAGTGAAACAGATTCTCTTCTGGGATCTGTGCGCACACACACATAAATAAAGATAAGGATTTAGAAAAAACTTTTTGATTCTGTGGCGGAGGCATCCTCCGTCACAGCACTTCTTTTCGTTGGAGAAGCACAGATTGAGATCTTACATGAGGTATAAAGTAGTAGCGGTAGACATAGATGGAAGCCAGGACCAGGCCAGCCATGAACACCACCAGGCCAAATGTCAGGCAGCAAAGGCCATTAAGGGGAGATTTCTTAGGGCGCAGAGGCAGAACCAGCTCCTCTTCATCCTAAAAAAACACATAGTGCACATATAAATACTCAAATCCACTGTGACGAGCAACGGAAATTAAGTGAATTAGCCACCCCCTGAAATGGAGTCTCACACAAAAACACACACATGCATTTTGAGCTGAGCTAGAGGAAGAGATGTCAGTGCCTGCTAATAAAAACCCATCCGAGACGGTGAGTAATCCTTCCGTGTGCCGCCAGTCTTGCAGCCCATCTGGCAATTCCACACGCCCAACCTGTGTGGGCAGAGTGACACTACACACAGCTAGTAACTGCTTTGTGGGCACCTCCATTTATAAAGAAACGACCAAGAAAGTGGCTCAGCTCCCACTGTAGAAGAATAGGGAGGCTCAAAGAAAAACTGAACTTCTGTGCCGTTTTTCCTTTTCTTTCTTTTTTTTTTTCCCCCAAAGAAAAATAAAAGGTACTAGCAAGAAGTCCTGAACGCTGTGGCATTGTTTGACAGTGTCTGGTGCATCTTCAGAGCCAAACTGCCAGGCGCCGGTTTCCCTGGAGCAGAAGTTGTCTTTTCACGCTGAGCATTTGGAGTCTGAGGATGCACGAGGACAACAGAGCAAGTGTGAACCCGTATTTCTGTGAGTTCTTTGTGTTCTTTCAACCCACAGAGAGAGAGGCTCTCTGACACAAGCTGCAAGCTATAGCCATGCTATAAGGCTGATAACATTCAGATAGACACAAGTGACATTGCAAAGTGTACCATTTAGGTTCTGAATGTTACAATTAGCTTATCTCTGCATACTCTGATGTGGTTGATCATTTTGTGCTCTCTGGGATTGATAAGCACAATGAAAGCATGCAAGCACAGCAAAGTTCAGGATTCCCATGTTTTACCTACCTCTGAGCTTGTACACATAATCTTTCATGCACTGCAACTCATAACAACCCATCTGCCATTTTGTCAGTCAAAGCAATGTTTTTTTCATTCACCCCCTCCTTTAAAAATAAATAAATAAAAAGGGGATGTTATTCATTTTAACCAGCACTAAAAGAAAAGGCCTAAAAAAAAACATGCCTCTAGAGAGGACACGCAAAACACCATTTTTTTGGTTTTCATAATCCCTGCGCAGCCCTGAACAAAGAGCAGACATTTGCACATTTTAATCATTTGCATGAGAGCAGCAACCCAACACAGCAATGATTGTGTTCCCTTCACGCATACGGCGATAGATGATTGCAAAAAAAAAGAAATGTCGGGTAAAAAATTAAATAAGAAAGGGGGAAAAATAACCGTTAATGACCGTGCTGGTAAAAGGAGGGCGCCTTGCACACCATCCGGCATCACCGTACAAAAAAAGAATACGTTTTTTTCTTATTTTTTGTGGGATGAAATGAGCATAAACGGCAGTCACTCACCACCGGATGAGGGATGAGAATTTCAGTTTTGTCGCCATCGTTCTCCTTTTCCACTTTCTGTCCCGCGACGGACTGGAAGCTGATTTTCACCATGGCTCGGCGTCTTTTTTCGTCGTCCTGCTGCAGGTGCGTTCGTCTGGACGAACGAGTAGCTGAAGACTTGTGTCAGAAAGAAGGGGGGCTCTCAATTCCTCGAAGGGCCGCCCTCTTTTTCTGCTTCCACTGCTGGACTGCTTCTCTGGTTTTGTGCCCCCCCCCCCCCAAAAAAAAAAAAAAAAAAAAAACTTGAGTCTTAAAGGAACAGTCCACTGTTTTCCATCATCTTTGAAAAGAACAACAATTTAAAAAACCACGGAGTTGTACCCTTTAATGTCATATATACAACACAGTCTCATTTACTGCTTAAGCAGACAGTCAAAATGCATTGTACCTTATTATAGGGTTGTGTTTAACACATTTCAGTAATCATACACGAGTATCGTTAGGATGCCATTTTATGGGTGACATAGGGCAATCTTCTGTCTTCTCTCAGCTTTACAGACATAATTGACTTATTTATGTCTGCGTTGCCATCAGGCTGACTGGATTCACAAGGTCCCTCTTTATCATGTTTAATTCTTCTTTTTAGTTATGTGACTTTTTACTCACATTTGATCCAAACAAAAAGCTTATGCTAATTTATACTTACAGTTCTCTTATTGTCATGTTGATAACAGTAAAATTGTGTCTACTATTTTAGTCGCTTTGGATAAAAGCATCAGCTAAATGCATCAGCTAAATGCAAAAACACAAACTATAGTTTTTATTTTATTTCACATTTAACATCAGACATCCCTCTGATATGTGACTGCAGCTGCAAAATAGCTGCAATAAGAATTCCTAAAGAATGTTGTTTGGATTTGGCTATAAAATTACTCACTTTAGCATTGTATGCTATCACATGATCTATGTAGATTACTGATTGTTTTATTTTCTTTTATAACTACAGGGATTGGACAATGAAACTGAAACACCTGGTTTTGGACCACAAAACTTTATCAGTATGGTGTAGGACCTCTTTTTGCGGCCAATACAGCGTCAATTCATCTTGGGAATGACATATACAAGTCCTGCACAGTGGTCAGAGGGATTTTAAGCCATTCTTCTTGCAGGATAGTGGCCAGGTCACGATGTGATGCTGGTGGAAGAAAATGTTTCCTGACTCGCTCCTCCAAAACACCCCAAAGTGGCTCAATAATGTTTAGATCTGGTGACTGTGCAGGCCATGGGAGATGTTCAATTTCACTTTCATGTTCATCAAACCAATCTCTCACCAGTCTTGCTCTGTGTATCAGTGCATTGTCATTCTGATACACAGCACCTCCTTCAGGATACAATGTTTGAACCATTGGATGCACATGGTCCTCCAGAATGGTTCGGTAGTCCTTGGCAGTGACGCGCCCATCTAGCACAAGTATGGGGCCAAGGGAATGCCATGATATGGCAGCCCAAACCATCACTGATCCACCCCCATGCTTCACTCTGGGCATGCAACAGTCTGGGTGGTATGCTTCTTTGGGGCTTCTCCACACCGTAACTCTCCCAGATGTGGGGAAAACAGTAAAAGCGGACTCATCAGAGAACAATACCTGTTTCACATTGTCCACATCCCAAGATTTGCGCTCGTTGCACCATTGAAACCGACGTTTGGCATTGGCATGAATGACCAAAGGTTTGGTATAGCAGCCCGGCCGTGTATATTGACCCTGTGGAGCTCCCGATGGACAGTTTTGGTGGAAAAAGGAGAGTTGAGGTGCACATTTAATTCTGCTGTGATTTGGGCAGCCTTGGTTTTATGTTTTTTGGTTACAATCCGGGTTATCACCCGAACATCCCTTTCAGACAGCTTCCTCTTGCGTCCACCGTTAATCCTGTTGGATGTGGTTCGTCCTTCTTGGTGGTATTCTGACATTACCCTGGATACCGTGGCTCTTGATACATCACAAAGACTTGCTGTCTTGGTCACAGATGTGCCAGCAAGACGTGCACCAACAATTGGTCCTCTTTTGAAGTCTGGTACGTCATCCATAATGTTGTGTACAATGCAATATTTTGAGCAAAACTGTGCTCTTACTCTGCTAATTGGACCTTCACAGTCTGCTCTTATTGGTTCAATGTGCAATTAATGAAGATTGGCCACCAGGCTGGTCCAATTTAGCCATGAAACCTCCCACACTAAAATGAGAGGTGTTTCAGTTTCATTGTCCAACCCCTGTATATTTTGTGTTAAAGTCTCTGACTGTGCCCACAGACTCTCTCTTTTTCTTTTCTCTCCTTTTCTTTCTCTGTTGCATTAGATCCACGTCTTTAAGTCAACACAAACACACACCATTTGGTAACACATTCCAATGTCATCAACATGAATTAGGACCCAGCTTGCTACTTTTAGAGGTAACTAGCCAATAGGACTTGGTTGTGTCCAGTCCTCCTTTGAGGGGTGTGCCCAGCCCAGGAGAACCATCACACACAGGGTTCAGGGTTCTTGGCCAACTGAGACCCTGAGAGAGAGGTTTTTGTCTGTGAAGAGCCCAGCACTGATATACTTTACCTGTGACCCAATAAATGTCATTTTTTATAATTTTGATCCACTCTGGTTTATTCTCAGGTTTCCAACTAAAGAATCTGGTTAACACTGTGGTGGGTTCAACTTGTTTTTTTTAGTGTTTTAAAGTAACCAGACTTTTATTAGAGTAATTATTTTATAGGCTGTTACCTAGATTCTTCACTGGGCCAAATTGTAGATATGAAAATTTGACATAGTCACGCACTGTTGAACGTCTGAATTGCACCTATCCTAATGAAAGCTCTGAAACTTCATGGTTCGAAAAGGCATGAAAGAGGCTTTCAATTCCAAGACAATCTAATTTTCTTGCATAAATACTAAAGATTACTCCTTGTTCCTTATTTTTGCCCTACCCTGTTGTTTTATAGGTATAATTCGCTTACTTCAGCTGACACTTTGGAGGCTTTTGAATGGCTGAATGAGCAGTACACATGATCCTGTAAGGATGGGGGGCAGCGTACTTCTGCAAAAGGGTAGAATTATGGGGATGAACTGGGATCGGCTTGATCATTACATTTTCCCCTACAGTCATTAACATGGTATTTGCTAGACTGAATCCTTACTATCAATATATTCTGGATCTTTAAAGAATAGTTCCATGATAGACACATATGTGATCACTTCTGCTCCCCCTTCAAAATTGTTAATCAACAGTCTATTGTCCATGTCTCTTTCTTGTGAAGAGCCACAGGTTTGAACAAGTTTTAAAATATACAATTGAATGTGTTCATATGATTTGCTATGCATACCAATGGGAAAATTTGGTCTTACCTAATTTTTTGGCCTCTTGTGCAAAAAGTCTAGAGCCTCTTTATTTGAACTCCTCTCTTGGAGTTTTGTTACCTTAGACAACTATCACTCTTCACTCATTCTCTGTGCAGCCCAGGTACGTAGCCATTTCGGGACTTAACTATATATGACAACTTTACAAAAAACACATTTTAAATGGTATCTTAAGACACTTTGTGAGAAGCAGTCTGTTGAGAAAAGCCCATAATAATTTCTTGCCTCTTTGGCTGCATCCATGACAAATGCCAACGAGACAACAACAAAAAAACAGTACCTTCAGAAAAGAAAAAAAAAACCTATGTGTTACTATTGTATGGTTGTCCAGATGCTGTTGTTAAGATGTAGAAACTGGGTGAAAAGGCTGAACAATTTCCAATTGCAGAAAAACGCAAATGAAAATCCGTGGAATGAGTCTTTTGGGAGCGATGAATGCTCTTAAAAGTCCAGAAGACGTTTACATCAATGTACTGTACATCAGTTAAATCATATTGAAAGCAGAACAAAACAGCGCCAACATTCTACACTGGAAAATTCCTCAAAAGGTCCAGAGAACTTCTCCCAAACTAGATAAAAGATTCTGGGATAACTAACCTATATCTTAACAATGGACTGAATTTATGTTAAAGCGAAGTCCATGCAGAATAACTTTCGTACACAGGGGGAAAATGAACAGCTTTATTTTATTCAAAATGTTTCCAACTTTTATTTCAACTGTTGGGCCCAGGCCTAAACATCTAAAAGCACCCACATACTCTAGGCTGATATTGGAGTCAGCATACGGCCTGAAAGTCACGTGCTCAATATTCCATTTCACTCTCGCTGAATACCAAGGCTGGGTCAAGTGGGGAAAAAACAAAAAAAAAATTCCAGTACATCATTAGCGCAGCATCATGCACAGCCAGTGGAGCAACATGCTTGTTCAGTGTGGATGGACACTGGCCCCTTCGAGTTACCTGCACCAATGTTTCATTTGATTTTTGGATTTATGTCGCTCTTTATTAACTGTGGTTTTATCACAAATGCAGATAATGTGGTTTCATCGGTTTTGCTGAAGCCTGAACGAATGAAACACACTCAAAGCACTGCGACACCCACAATGCTTTACACTCCTCATTGTACTGGAATTCTAAAACCCTGTGAAAGGAAAAGGAAAAGGTGGGAAGGAGATAAAAGACTGAAAAATGTGCCAGAAGAAAGAGCCAGATCCCACCTGAAAAAGACCGACGAAGGGACTACGCGGCACGCTAAGCTCAATGAACCAAGTGGTGAGGTTGGGGAATGATCACTCAACTTCAGGTGAGTGATACGGATCAGCCAGCACCTCACAAAGTGCACAAAACACAGGCTTTAATGGTTCAGTTAATGCTCTTCCATTCCCTTTCCTCCCCTTATGCACTGCTCTCACACACGCACACACCCCCTTACACACACACTTTCAGCAGTAAGAGATACTCAAACCATGGATGCAGAATAAAAACGGGATTAACAGATCCAGAACTATTACAATGACATTCTTCTGCTGTACAAATTGTTAATATCCTACATGTTAGTTAAATGTAAGCTGTCTCTTTTAAGTTATGTACAATGAAACCCACCAGCAACCATTTCAGCAGTAAATAAAATCCCCAAAAAAAGGAAAAGAAAAAAAAGGGGGGGGCACCTTTCTTATAGTTTAAAAAGGTATTTTTTTTATCACAATTAACCAAAAACGTTTTGTTTAAGGTAATATATATCATATATATTAAAGGTGTCAAGATTAAGCAAAAAAAAACTACAAAAAAAAGGCATACATGTTCACCCTGTCCAAGAAAACAAAAATACCCAATTTTGGGCTAAAAAAAATGCATGCCTTACACCCGCCCTTGCCTGCCTCCTATCGTGGTTTGAGTGCTGTGCCATGACAAAGCACTCAAGAGGTGAACGGTTCGGCGTGATGGCATCTAAGAACTTTGTAAAACAACCCACTGTTAGTCTGTTGGTTGAATGCATGAATATAAATGAAAACTATAGCAGTGGCGCCAACACAGAGCTGACCATTGGAGAAGTCCCACCGGTTACAGTTTAGCCAAGGTTCAACCTGCTTGTACCGTTTCGACCGTGTTTGTTTGTGGGCGGTTTTTCACGTGAGATCTTGTGTGTGTAAACATGTTGATATTTTGGTGCTTGTTGTCTCTGAGCTACTGGGAAAGTCGGCCATGTCTTGACTATGTTTAATGCACTATTGTGTCAGTGTTTGCCTTGAATGTTTCAATGTGCAAGAAAGCAGCAGCAACTAATATTTTCTTAATTCTTTAGAAGGAAAAACACAGGAGGGAAAAAAAAAAAGGGGGCAAAAAATCCAAGATGTTCTGATGGGCAGAGCGGTTGGCATCTTCCAGATGATGTGGGCTTGTTTTTTTTGTTTTTTGTTTTATTTGTTCATCAGTATTTGTTCAAAAATCAGAACACCAGTTGCTGATGGGTCCGTTAAGCAGACGTTGTCCGGGTGTTGTCCAGACCTGGTCCTGGCTGCTCCTTGGTGCACTTTAGAACTATCAGGCCTCTTGGGGTGCAGGCCTCTTAAGGTCCCTGATCTGTTTGACCAGGTAAGTCTTTTCGTCGTTGAACTGTTCGTCCTCTGTTCTGTCATTCTGGAACTTGCTAAGAAACTCTATGAGCTTGGTCTGGTTCTTTAGCAGGATATCTAGGATGGGCTGAGTCTTGTTGGGGTTGGCCACGAACACCTAGTAGTGGAGAGGGAAAATGTTTCAAATGCAAAATATCTGAGAGCGTTGATATTTATAACATTGACAATTTGTCAGCATTAATAACATAAATGATGAGGAATGAAGTCTGATAGCTTCTTATTGAATCAGAACCCAGCCCTACTTATAGTTTGGAAATCCAAAAACTAGAGAGTTTGTTTTTGTTTATATTCTTAGTTTAGATGTGACGCAGTTTCAACTCTTGCCAGAACTTCGGGGAACACAACACTGAGATGCACCTGCTAAGATTAACCACATGCAGCAGTTACAGCCACAAGATCACTTTTCTAAAAAAAAAAAATGTTTTTAAGTATGCATGATCCTTTAAGGATAGCAGTGTACTTCTGCAAAGAGGTAGGATTAAGGGGATGAACAAGGATCAGCTTGATCATTATCTTTTGCCCTATAGCTATTAACAAGCCGTAACAATCCTTACTATCAATATCAGCCACAATGTCACTTTTCTAAAAAAAAGGTTTTTAAATGAAGGGATTTCTCCCCTTTTCTTTTTTTTAAAGGCAGTAAACATGTTTTATGTGGTGGCTCTGAGACAAGGAACAAACCACAAACAAAGAGAAAGGAGTCTGATTAATGGCACTCTCTGTGAGACAGGTGACAGCCCATTCTCTGTGTAGCATAGAATGGTGCTCATCAGACACTGCGGACCAACGCAACCTGCAGGAAACGCTCTGATGATATTCCCTCCTGATGTCTCATTATATGTAATTTTCTAAGTAGCAGTGACCAGTTTCATTCCTCAGACCACTGAGCACAAATCTGCTTCAACAATAAGATTTAATCATGTTGTAAAACCTGTTAAAAAGGCAGTCCTTTGAAGTCTGTCCTTGGGCAAGGCTGAGACTTTCCTTAGATGGATGCTGTCAATAAATGGGCTTGTTTGAAATCTTGGCTGAAGTAGAACAAATTGAGCTCTCCAAGATTGAATTTGCAAAAGTAACCGAGCCTAGTTGAAACGAGTTATAGCATGTGATGGAAAAGCGGGCTTTGTTCTGTTCTCTTTGCTTATTTTAATCAAACTTCTGATATTCACAGCTTCTTTGTCGACTTAAAGGAATAAATCTTCACTCAAAAAGTGCTAGTGTTTAAAACACAAGCATGCGTCATATTGCTTTCTGATAAATACTGGAACTCAGTACACACACTCATGGCAATAAAAGCGAAGCGTTTGTTGCGCATGACACAGATTTGAAGCCAACTTATTATACCTTGTTTTTTAGATTCTTAAATATTGTTTTATTTTCATCTACTACTGTTTTTGCTTCACCTGTCATATCTGGCAGGGAAATGTTTGATGTGGAACTCCTTATTCTCCTCAACTGATCAACGTATAATATAAATATGCTTCCTCATATCATTTTTCTTCCGCCTTGAAGTACAGTCTATGGGCTGGCAGAGGTTACAAATGCCCCAGGTGCTTCGATGTCTGTTCCAAACATGTCTTACCTTGAAAACATGGAAAGCCTCAAACTGGATGTTGCGACTCTTGTCCCGTAGCAGGTTCATCATTAGCTTAAGATTCTCCGGCTTGCTGATGTATTTTGTCATTATGGTAAAATTGTGTCGGTCAAGAAGCAACTCTCCCAGTAACTAAATCATTTGTGTGAAGAGAAGAAACAACATCAATCAAAGCTGTTAAACAGGCACACCTCACAAAAAATTCTCTCCACACAAAACAGAAGTGTAATCACTTTTACTTAAAAATTCTCCACATTAAATGCCCCGGCTACCACATTCCTTTATAAGATTACAGAGGGGGATCCAGGAATGACTGGGTTTATAAACTGCATAATATTTAGATTTATATTAGTAGCCAACACTACCTGTACACCACAATAACTAAACAAAGCACATGGAAAGTGAGGGAAACAAGTATGGCTTGAGCTGATATGATCTTTTTTTGTCCAACCACTAGATGGCAGTAATGAAAAAGAAATGCAGTAATTCAGAGAAACCTAACACTCTCTACCAGACTGCATCTTAAAATAGATTCCTGAATAGAGCTGCACTGCTATATAACCTTTTTACTGGCACGAGCCCAATCCCTTACCTTCAAGGACTGCCGTTTTGTCACGTAGTTTTCTGAGTGGAGCAATTTCTCATATTCACTGAAGAACTACAGAAAGAGAAAGAATTTGTGATAAAATCGGTAGAAGTTAGGGACATGAGGGAGAGTAAGTCATAAATGAGACTGTATGGTGTCAAATAACGCAAAATTCCCCCGCACGACCAGACAGTTATTTTATGTTTTCAGCCAGCGAACTGTGTCCCAAATGGCTGTGTTGTTGCACTTCAGAGAAAGCCTGCCAAGAAGCTGAACAGGCGATCTGTGTTCTTTTGTACTTTTTAGTTATAGAAAATCAAAACAAATCCAAAACACATGCTTAAAATTGCTTATATGTCCAGCCACACAAATTTACTGTGCAGACATATATAATTGTGAACAATTTCAACAGCCTTTGGTCTAAATTGTGTCTTTTGTTCTCTGTGGTAGTAAAAGGTTAAAAGTAATATGGTTGAACTTAAGTATTACTTTAAAGCTTCTCTGTCTCAGCCTAGATGAACCCATTCCATTTGTAGACTTACTCTGTCATAATGCTGCTCCAAAAACTCAGCACTCAGTAGCTTGTGTCTTGTCAGGAGGTCCTGAAAACATAAAGATCCAATTATAAGAATGTGATGACTAAGCAGGACAGAATCAGATTTCGGTACAAATTGTAGGTAACAGACTTTTCAAGAAATTATGTAAAATATCCTAAATAAATCACCTAAATTTACAAAGAACCGTCATTTAAGAAAAGAAAAACATGTTTTAATGCTCTGTGATTGGTGACAGTATTAATCCCCTCAAAGAGTAGAGCATGATTTTTTTTTAGCAATCTTGGTGGCCCTCTACTTTGTAAGTCGCTTTGAATAAAAGTGTCTGCTAAATGCAGAAAAACAAAACATAAAAAAAAAAACAACCAATTCAACAAAATAATCTTTTTTTGTTTGCTTTAATTCCAGGAAAAAAATCTGATTAAAACAACACATGAGGACATAGAGAAAATGGTTGGAGACTAAATTTGGTCATTTAAAAAATGCTCTGAGATGGATTAAAAAAAATATACCTGTTCAAATTTGAGCTACTGCATGTAAAATAAAAAACAACATCTGAAACACTGACTTCCTTTTAATAAAAGTTGTGACTATAACATTGGATGTTTCAGCCTTCAGTCAGATTACTGAAAAGTATCACTACAGAATGTCACAATTTGGCTGACTTACTTTAAAAGTGGCAAATGCATCTGAGGCAATGTCGAATGTGGACATCTCCACATATCTGAAGAAGTCGTAGAACTGCTCTGACCACAGTGTGATTTTGGCCAGTGGCTCGTGCCTAATACATTCTCTCAGCATGATGCCACAGTTTAGGGCAATGTCTGGTGACTCGTACCTGAATTAAAAACATAAATATAAGAATTATCATTCAGCATGTGCACCCACAGACAAGTTAATTGGATCACACACATACAAAAAAAAATACAATGTGAACACAAACAGAAAATGCCAACTATGTCAGGAAGTTGAGTTTCAAGTTATCTTCCCTATCTTTAACATCTATTGTTCATAGAACTGAGTGACATAGAAAACAGGTTTACTGTGTTCTGTTTGTACTTTCTTACCCTTTAAGCAACATGAAGAGGATATTCTGCTGGGTACAAAGGTATTCTACAGTGGGTGTCCGAGTACCGATTTGGCGTCTCAGGATGTTGTTGAAGATCTGTGCTACATCTTTTTTACCCTGTTGGTGAAATCCTAATTAATCCGTTAATATAACACAACAATGAAAAAAAGATTTGGATACCAGAACAAATAAGGATTCAGAGCTCATTTGTTGGGCTGTCAGCATAGCGAAAAAAATGATATATATTGGACCTTATAAGGCATGTCAATTTGGACATGAGAAGAAATGTTGAATCACGATCCCATATTTATCTCGCACTCATGTGTTTCTTCTGTTAAACATGGAGGATGTGCTGGAGTGCAAAAGAGGGAGTGAGAGACCTCACAATACAATGACTCATGCTATGATACGGTGAGTCAGGGAAGCCTGCAGCGGCAGTTACAACCACCAGCAGTCTGACATATTGCGGTGAGATGAGTTTACGTGCATATAAACACACAGGCAGATCTGTCTTAACTGCCAACTGAAAAACATCTAATGTAATTTTCTATTAGTACCTTTTTATCCCTACTCAACATTACACAAGTCAGTTTAGGTGGTCCAAAAGAGCTCCGAAGAAGCTCAGGCTCGAATGGAAAAGCAAAAAAAAAAACTAATGTACACTTGATACTGTATGCATTTAAATAGAGTTTGACTTCTATATGACCTTTGTGCAATGAAAGTGTCCCAAGTCATATTTCCTTACAGGTTTCATTAGTCAATATCTTTCTTCTCGGCTAAAACAGATGTAGCATCTCACCTCAAATTCGATAAGCTGCAGGTCTGCTATGAGTATGCTGAGCAGGCCACTGTTGTAGAGTTCCTGGGCGAGCTGGGCCACTGCTTCCGTCTGAGGCTCTTTTTCATTAGTCCCATAGAGAATCTCCTTCATGGCTACCAGGCTCTTTGACACCTCCTCTGCAGCCTGAATAAAGCACAAAGTACCCATCATGATTTTTAAAGGTTCAGCTCTCACTAATACACTCACCGTACACATGATGCAATCACACAGTGGGTTTCGGAGTAGATTACAGCATTACATGGTATATTATGGCTCACTTTTTCTTGATTCTTTGGTTTTCTGCTGAGGGCACTACTATGTACGAGTTAAACGAACAATCAAATTAAGATTAGGATGCAGAGTTATACATTTTTTAAAAGATTGTGTTTATGGATTTAGAGGACACTTCTATCTAAAGATATTTCCAGTGCAGATATAACATTACAGTAGCATCAAGCTAACAATAACTTACATAGAAATAAATCTCAAATAAACAATGTTCAGAGGACACAGAGGGAAGGATCTCTTCACAGCAGGTTTTATGGACGTTTTGAAGGTAAAAAAATGTATTTTACATTTTATTGTTTGTCGAAAAATTCAGTAGGCATTAAAAAATATATATATATATATATTCTCAGGATGATGAAAATCCTTGCATCAACCCCAAAAACAATCTGTATCACTTGGCATCTCACAGAAGAATGTAATAAGTAAAGCAAAAGATCAAACCTACTTTTTCTGCTTTCTTATCAGAGATGTCGTGCTTCTCTAGAACCGTCATACTGTCCTTAAGGTTTTTGACGATGTCTGCCGGTGACTTGTGGGACTTGCCAAAAGGGAAAGGCATGGCGAAGAGTTACCACGAGTGACCAGGCAGCAGACTGTCCAGCTACAAAGAGAATACAAAAACAAATCCATCTTAAATTGAATTGTACATATATACTATAAAACAGAATTTTCGATTGTAATATGTGGGCCGTAATGTCTTCCGCCATTATCCTTTATGCTTGAAACATGTGGCTAGTTTTAATATAAATGTGGTGTGTTCTCATTACGTCACAATACTTGATCACAGTTGAAAAAGGGATACCTGACAACTTTTTTGGTCATAATTAGCAAATATCTATGTCTGATGTGACCTTTAAGACTTCACTGACAAGTGGTATTTCTTCTACTCGTCAGTAAATGATTAACCACGCAATATTTGCGATGACACAAGCCTAATTCACTGTGACATCAGCTCATAACTTTGTCTGGCCAACTCCCTGTGCACTGTTTAATATTTTCAAGAAGTTACATCGTATGTCGAACCTTGAAGGGCAACAAATGTGGGATTGTAAACACACCCATCAAATATGATCCTGTTACAAAATCCTCTAACCCAGGATGAGCTTAATCAAGCTACAGAGATCCAAGAAAAGGCATGCATGATGACCATATTGCTCAAGTACTCTGTGAAAGCATATACATACACATGTAAAATATGTATACACTACACACACACACACACACACACACATATATTAGGGATGGGACGGTTTCTGAAAACCGTCCGAACCGTTCGGTTCGACTGTCTCGGTTCGGTTCGCGTGTGTACCGCACGGTTCATGCACTGCTCCTTTTTCTCAGAGGGAAGCGTTTACACTCCAGAGCAGAAGGGGGCGCTACTGTGCCCAAAGCCAACCACCAGTAGTAAACAAGAAGAAGAAGCGAAGCAGCGTAGCCGATAAAAATCAGACGCGCCAACAGCAGTTTCTAGGTCTGCTGTATAGACCTCTTTGCATTTAGGGTCAAGCACATGTTGGAATTAGCACTATTTCCTCGCTTGCAATGCCAGAATCTCGCCTATTTTTAACCTAAGACTGTCACAATAATGTATCAAATGTCAGACTGCTTTTTTCTTTCAGTTTTAACTAGGGATGGGGATCGAAACCCGGTTCTATCAAGGACCCGGTTCCACTTTTTTCAAAACCCGAAAATCAATAACGTTTGGGCTTATCGATACCACTATCGAGTCTGGTCGTTTTTTTATTATTACAATAGTAATTGTGAAATCTGTGTTGTAATCGGCAGCATACAAGCTAGTTAGCTTGAAAAGTAAATAAAGTTTCAGACGTGCTGCGTGATGATGTGTTCAGATTGGCTCAGTAAAACGACAATTAGGTTATCATGATGCGTTCAAGTGTAACGTAAAGAAAAGGGAAATTGAGTTTTTGGCGAGAAACATGAGTAATACAGTTGTATATTGCTCTAATTATTTTAGAATATATAATTAAACTACTGATGCCAACATTTATTAAAAATTACATTTAATTTAAAATACAATTATTTATTTGTTAAATATTGTCGCATCGTCTTTCCACCAAATAACAGAAAATTATCGATAGTGGTATCGATAAAGACTCGGATCGATAAGGAGTATCGATAAAAGTATCGATATCAATAAATATTAACGATCCCCATCCCTAGTTTTAACCTGACTATACAAGACATAATAGATTTTCCTAACAATCACCATGTACCGAACCGAACCGAAAACCGTGACCACAAAACCGTGAAACGAACCGAACCGTGGATTTTGTGAACCGTCCCACCCCTAACATATATATATATATATACATACATATATATTATGTGTTTGTGTGTATACAAACATACATGTATGATGACTTGATGATATATATGATGACTGAGATGAAAAATGATCCATACGCTTAAGTTTACCCTTCTTTACTGAACAAGACAGTCCAATTTCAACAGGTGGCCAAATCCGTGTTTTCGACAGGCTAATGCCCGTTAATGTAGCAGCAGAGTAGATAACCATCCTTACCTCCTAACCCGCTTCAGTGTCAGTGACGTAAATAGGTAAGCAACACATATGGCAGGTTCAATGTCAGCAGGCCACTCTTAAACCTCTATTACACCCTTACTAAGCAGATATTCTGTGCCGAGGAATAACCAAACACTAGGTGATCAAAAAAAACTTAACATCCAAAAACTATTAGAGTAAATGTAGTGTTCTTTATTCCAAGATAAGAATTAAATACTCCGGGAATTGCAGCAAAACCAGTTGTCCCATATATTACCAGTTTGTTGCTGAGACTAAATCACGAACCCGCAACATTACTGTATTCCAGTGGCAGAGATAGCCCGCTTTTTATCAACAAATATACATACATACATAATATTCTTCTTAAATACAGAAAACCCCAAAAAACTAACCCCAAAAGATGTCTAGATAAAAATAACTTTGCGAAATTAAAAAAACAAATCTGAAAGGAAACCCAATGTGGTTCCGCGTACCGGAGAAAGCGACTAACCGAGTACAAACCGACGAGAGCTCTCTCAGCGGGAGTAAACCCATGGGAACCTCACGTTTTTAACGACGAGTACCACTGTGTCTTGAACCACACTTGCCTTCAAGAAAGCAAACTTAAATGTTTCCAACAACAACGTTAACCCCCACAACAGATACCCTTACCACCAACATTATACTAGCAACCACCACCAGATTCGCCAATTGCTACTTCAGTTATATAACCAAGTTATTACCATGGCTTGCAGAAGATGTTTTCGGTTATATCTTTATTTGTGCCGAAAGTTGAGATTAAAATCTGACGAAAGACCACGGCCGTTTCTGCTTGCCTGTGTGAACCTGACAGTGAGCACCGCCCATCTGTGTTATCCATGCTTGGTTTGTGATGGTTTGAAGCCTGCCAACTTCGCAAAATGCGAACAAAATAGACACTAACCGCCACAAGCAGTCGACACAGAGTCGAGCAACTGTAATACAATTAGAAATAGTGTCGCATTAATAGGTGATTCGGCGTCACCCTTAGGTAGATACCCAACTGTATCTACTGGTAAGCTAACGTGGCCTTTATCATTTCAATCACTGTCCACTAAACAGTGCCACCGAAAGCTTGCTTCTCAATTGTATTTCTTGTAGACACACATATAGTTTTTAAGGTCCAGTGCCTTCAAAAGGTTCTCGGCACATTTATCTTGTTCATCTTAAATAGAATGGACGACCTAAATGGAATTAAGAAAGTAGAAGTGGTAAGGTTGCTTAGCTAACTTAGCATTATGCTAGCCAGGCCTGACAGTGGCTCCTCACGCTTTAGCTCTGAAAAACATGCTTGTCTTTAGCAACGTTTAACACGGGCTAACTTCAGAACAATTTTACTCGAAGAGTGCTGATTTGCAGCATATTCTAGCTAATACTATTTAAAAACTTTATACATATACGGAGCACAATACCTTGCAAATGGCGTTATCACTAGCTTCTCTTGTTTGATCAAAGCAGCAAAACAAAAACAATTCAGGGCTTCTTTTAAATGAAAAAAACTATATTGTTTTGGTTGCTCGACGCCTCCCTTGTCTCTGCTGTTGATTTTCGTGCGGGCCCAGTTACCTCCTAGTTCTTTCTCTGAGCCAGATGATGGGAACGTTTGCAGAGTTGAGAACTTGTCATTATACTGCGTATAGCGCCTCCTCTGGCTATTTGATGTCATGGCAACAGCACAGGATTTAGTCTGCGAGAATGGTAGATGATCACAAGAGGGCGCCATATCCCCATGGAAGGTTATGCTTATGAATTCTGATTAAATCGAACAGAATTACTTCCATTGTTGTTACATTTACACGCACCAACATTGAGAGCTGTTCCAGATAGCTGCCTCCCTGAAAACGCATTTATTCCAAAATAGCACAACATACTCTTTTCACATACCTACACGAACATACATCTCTTACCCTGATCACTGTGGCTATCCACCCATTTTTTATTGTAAATATCCACGCCAGCCTGATGAGAACTGTCAGGAGCTGGCACAGCGTAGGGTCACTGTTGCTGACAAAAAAAAGGTGGCTAACCTGGAGGCTAGATCTAGTGCTCCATCTGACTGGAGCTGGAAAGAGGAAAACACAAGTTATTTCACGGTTATTGGTCAATGTCATGGTGTCAGCCAGGTTATTCTTGCTCTATCTTGATCTGTTTATATCAAGTATGTCGTTGTCATATCTACTATTTCATTAGTGCATTGTCACTTTGATGGTCTATGGTTCCCTCTAAACAACAGGATACATGAACAGATGTCTTACAAATGTACATTAATTCACCAATATACAGTTTCTGTAAGTTTGTTAACCTTTTAAATGACTATTAGTCTGTCTCTAAAATAACATCTCCCAAAATATTGTCACTCCTAAATCTGATTAAATTAATGATAAACTTTTGCTCTCTGTATTTCCTGTGACATTGGGTTTCCTACACTTGCAAATTTGTTTTCTTACATGATGTCCCTTCTTCAGGTCCATCAACAAAAACATCAATTTATTCTTCCTTTCTTTTTGATAAATAAATCAATTAATTTGCTGGGTTTAAGGTTATTGAAATGAAAATAATTCAGTAGACATCTCCAAACAATCTACTTGAGATTGAGATAACTGAAAAAAATTATTAAACATAAAAAAATGGTGGAAAGAAGTCCTGGCCCAGATGCAACAAACATGATTCCAATGCACAGTGCTGGACCACCCGTTAAGGGACAGCCAAGAACGTCATTCTCAGCAGGCAATAAATCAACAAGGTGGAAAAGCTTTACATTTCTGTGCTAAAAGAAAGTTGTTTATTGTATTCAACCCTGTTTCCATGTATTAATTCTCTCTTTTATTTATCGATCTTGACACCCTTTCTCCATACATGCTTATTCAAATTAGGACTAATCTACCAAGTTTAACCCCTCTAAAAAATTAGCAGTTATTGATCAGAGTAATGCATGGTGCCAAATTATTGTATTCTTTCTATTTTGAACTCAAATGTTCGTTCCCAGCTAAAATAGATTTGAATTAATTTTGATGACATATTATCAACTCTATGACTGTGACATACTCTGATTCACTGATGTACCTTAAAATATCTTGAGGTAAATCTTTAACCCAAAGCTGTTTTATCACATTCAGGGTCAACAGAGTGTTTTCTCTGTTAGGTTAGTATAAAGTATGAAGTATATTCATGAATAATACCAACCTTTTAAACTTTATTGTCGATAGATAAGATAAGTACGGTAGATAGAGGGAAGTAAAGAAAGAGTTATAGAGGGGTATGTTTATGTTTATGACTGCATTCTTAAACTTAAACTACTTAAAATTCACCTTCAGATACTCCTTATTTTAGATTTATTATTGTTACAATAAGGGTTAAACCAAGAACCAAACCATTCTTAAAAAATATAAGTTAGATTGGTTGGATAAATTACACATTTGTTACTTTTGATTTTAATATCTGAGCTTGATAACAAATAATAAGATGCAAAATGTACTTGAAACATATTTTAAAGAATAATAACCTAATGGGAGCTTCTTACGTGTTTGAGAGGGTCATTGATTATGCTGTCAAATAATAACATCCATTTTGGCCACATGACAGAACTTTGCTGAGAATGACTTCAGCTATCTCAGTGTTGCATGCATTTGTTTTACCTGACATAGTAAACACACCCAAAATAAGTGTAAAGGATCATTTTAAGTTTGAAAGTCAAAGCTATCCTGAAAAAGCAAATGAATGTGGTTAAAACAAGAGAATAAAACTCAACGACACCCATGGACCACACGCAGTCCATGCAGATGTCAAAACCCAGATTCGGCTCTGATCATGACTTTTGGTCAATGTCAAGCCCACATAACATTGGTAAGTGGCGTAATAGAGCCATAAACATTAAGTGCAACCCAAATGAGTCACAGATGTTATTTTAAAACAATCTTTTTGTATTATTCGGGGGTCTTGTGAATGTAGTGATTACTTTTAATCTCTTAATCTCAAGGTGTGAGTATCGACCACAAGAGGCACCGGTCATGGCTGGTCACCTGCCAAAGCTTTAGCGTCTAACTCCTCCTCGAACTGTCCACCCTCTCTAAATGTTACTCTCTTCATGCTGATTAGGTCAGGATGAATAGTGCGCTTTGTTTGGCCTCGTTTCCCACGACCCGGAATTCGCCTGCCAGTCGCGTGGCTCTTAAACCGGGGCCCCAACTTTAAGGTTGGAGACTGGGGTGTGAGTGTGTGTACGTGTGTGGGTGCGGGGGGGGGGGGGGGGGGGGGGGGGGGGTGACATCTGCTCACTTACAGTCAACAACAAAATGTCCACAGAGCAGGTGGCAGAAACAGCTTTGAATGTGGACCTTCCCCACTGGAGTTATTAGAAAGATTAGGGATGAAATTAAAATACAAATAAAATAAAAAACTTTCCCAGGAAAAGACTAAAAGGCTAAATGCGCTCTCAGGTGATTTGCCAACCTATTGTGTTTTCCAGTCAGCTTCGAGGATTTTTTTAAATATCTTTTCTGTCAGGCGCAGTGTAATGTTGCGCTGGACAAGAAAGGGCGAGGGACTCCCCGGAGTCCAGCACGGGTAATTGCACACTCTTGTTTATCAGTGGGAGAAAAAAGGAAACTCCAGATTTTCTGTCATGTTGGGTAGATGGGTGGAGGGAGAGCAGTGCATGGTTTCAGGCTGGACATCTGTCGCTTTTTTTTCTCCCTTTTTTTGTCAGGGCCGGGTTCTCGCGGTCACTGAATGGAACCAGTGACCTGTCAGTCTTGACTGATGGGACCCCATGTGTGGGAAAATCCTGCAGGCAAAGAGTTGAAGTATTCACATGCTAATTTCGCCCTATAAATAAGAGGGTCGCGCCGCGCCGTGGACCCTAGAGACGGGTCGAGATTTTAGGGGAGAAGGGACGGAAAGAGGAAAAACCATGACTGCCTCTTCTACGCGCAACTTCGATAAGCATCCCAATGCAAAGGAGGAGAGAAAGGTATTTCAGACTTGGATATACTGTCGATCACTTGCTTGAGAAGGAGCGCGGAGTGGGCGACACACTTTATAGCCTTGTTTCTTTGAGCTTTTGCTTGATAGTGGGCGTTTCGTTGTTATACGTTTACAGCTCAGAAAGCCGCTCATCGAAAGGAAGAGACGGGAGAGGATAAACAATTGTTTGGATCAGCTCAAAGAAACAGTGATTGGAGCGTTTAGGCTCGATGTGAGTACGACCGCGCACTTCTTTTTTCCCCTTTCAGAAAACACTTGATGGACAGATACAGGTGAACTTTACGTTTTCGCATTCTCTCAATAGCAATCCAAACTAGAGAAAGCGGACATCCTTGAGATGACAGTAAAGCATCTGCAGAACATCCAGAATAATACACTAAACGGTGAGAAACGTGGTGCCTTATGCTCTTTCTTTATTTCCTTAAACACATTTGTTTATGTTTTTTATTTATAGTCTATATCCTGTAATACTGGATGCTGTCTAAATGAAATTATGGAGACAGTGTATCATAAACAGATAAATCAGGCCGTCTTTTAACAAGACTGTAAAACCGACTAACTTAACATTAGGCAGCAGGGGGCAGCATCAGCATGCTACATGTAAGGCCTGCGTGTTGTACGTGTTGTACGTGTTGATGTGACGTAAATACGTGGTAATAGGTTAGGATGACGTCTGGAGATGTTTTTCTAAAGTCAGCTGTGTGTTCTTTTTTTTTCCTGCCCCACATACAATCATGTGATCACATAGAGCAAGTGGCATCAAATGCAGGTTGTAATGTCACCATGGGAGTCGCTATGACACACTGAATCGTCACCTGTTTCGTTTTCTTCCCATTCAGATCCAACAGTAGACCTGGAGGCCCAGCAGAGATACAGCACAGGTTACATCCAGTGCATGCACGAGGTCCACAACATGCTCCTCAACTGTGACTGGATGGACAAAACTCTGGGCTCACGCCTGCTAAACCACCTGCTCAAGTCCCTGCCCAGGACCATCGATGAAGGCATCCCAAGCCAACACACATCCAGACATGACATTCCTCTTCCTACCAACCAAGTGATCCCAGGCACACCCCTCAGGGGGGACCCCCTGCCCGGGAGACAGCCCAAGATAGAGGCTCTCAACTGTCATGTGCCTGGGCCACAGGAGAGGTTGGCCCTCCACAGCCCCCATTTGGGGATGCTGGAGATGTGGAGGCCGTGGTGAACTAGTGGATTTATGCCCTTGGTTGTCCAGTATTGTTAGACCCTCCTCTGTTATGTATCTTATAGATATGCTGCGCAGAAGACAAACGTGGGGCGGTTTTGTTCCAGTGATTATTATTGTAGGTGTACTATAATAATTCTACACAGACCTTTTCTCAGTACTTCCCTTTAAGAAGTAAACCCCTTGTAGCCTGCATTATAGAAGGCCTTTATTAATCTTTCAAGTATTTATTGTATTAACAACGTAATTTATTTGATGTTTTAAGGACTGACTTTCCCTCTTAGGCCACTTTCTTGGTATTACATGGATTACTATGTCTTCATCCTTTGTTTGATTATTAACCTAAATAACAAAATAAAACATTCCAAGCTCACAGTGATTTTATTGGAGTAATGAATTGATCTGGCAGTCTATATTTCCTGTTGTAAATAATGTTATGGGCTGTGATTATTGTATGACCCAAAGAACATCGTACGACAAAGAGGCCCAAACAATTACCTTATTTCAAGGTCTTTAGTACAATTACATAACTTAGATTATGCAAAAGTGGTTAAGACATCTTGAAACTGAATTTTGATTCATGCTAATGGAAGATTACCGGCGGCAACAGGCCTACATGACTGCTGACATAAAACATATTCATTAATCAAACATCAGTTCCAATTAGTGTTCAACAAAGAACTCTTCAGCTTGTTTGTGTATTTGCAGTGCTCTTAAGCAATAAGACAATATCACTGCTGTGAAAGGGGCCAGCAAACCATGCCACGTACCTTTTGAAAGCCAACTGACAACTCAGCTCACAAAGCACTTGTGGCAGGATTTGTCTTGTGATTGACTTTGGAGCACTCACAACACATTAACCAGCTAAACTAGTGCTAAATGCTATTTACATGGGTCTCCAAAACAATGACTGTGATAGGAAAGATAATCAATGCAAGAAGAATGAAAATGGATGAAAATAATGTAATTCAGCCCTAAACATGCACCTGGACTTTTGTTATGTGACATATAAATTAGCCTTTGTGATAATGTTACCCAATGTGTGTGATAGTTGCAGCTGCAGTGCCCTTCACAATAGGGATTTGTGAAAAATGACCAAGAAAAAACTAACTAACATGATGAACAATGTGATGGTCCTTTTAACACTTCCTAATGTTAACTGTACATTTCTTACAACACCTGTCCTGAAATAAATCTTTTTTTTTTCAAAAGTAAATTCTAAGCATGAGCCTAACCAAGACTTTGGTATGCTGCAAATGGATTTGTCCTAATCAATTCAAAGAATTTTTGAAGAGCTATTTAATTTTCTGTCATGTTGTTTTTATTGAATTTGTGATCTGCAGGCATAAACCAGGCTTGCTTAAACATACTTCAGTGCAGGGTAAGAATAAAATGCCTCCTTATAGATTAGGGAAACTAAATGTCTTTATGAAATGTAGACTAATGTTGACTTAAAATTACTTGGTAACCAATCATTTCCAATATATTTCTTTGAGAGGGTAAGATAAATTGTTTAATATGAATAAACTCATGAGAGAAAGGTATTTTTTTAGCTTGTAAAAGAATATATGAGAAAAAAATCACAAAGTAGGCTATCAATCCCCCAAATGAGAGACTTAGTTTGGTTTAAAAGAACAGTGGGCTCAGCAATAAAGCCATATCTATTTTGTAGAGGTATATAACTCAGTATGTTTGAAAAGGAAGAACCACTAGATTTTTTACGCCTATCATCACGGTAAACAGCTTTCCTTCATTCGTTTTCAAATGTATTTTTCTTATGGCTTATGCATATTCCCATCCTTTTTTCATAATGACTTGCCACCATTATGAGCCAGGTCTGTTCCGAAGAAAGAGAGAAAACGAAGAGGGGGACGCATAGTCCCTCAGCGGAGCTCCCCAACAAAAGCGAACCGAGACAGCTGCTCTCTCCACAGTACACACCATTAAATCTCGGGAACGAGCAGGGATCTACAAGTGGCGAGGTGCCAAAAAAGCTCCCACTTCAAAGGTCTACAACACTTCCTTCATTTGTGGGTCCTGGATATGAGTAGTATTTCAAGTATTTGTGCAAAGAACTGGCAAAAAGAAGCACTTGGAAATCCATCTCTGGATTTACCCAAAAAGCTGTACAGATGCAATGTAAAAATAAAATAAAATAGAGTTAAAAAAACAAAAAAAGATTGAGCAATTCACTCTGCTGTAATGTGGGCTTCATTAACATAATAATAACGTATACAGGACAAGAATAACACGAGTGCAGTGAGTTGAGATTTCTTTAGGCAAAAACAAACATTTTTTGCAGAAGACCATCCAGATGCATCACTATAGCATTAGAACGGACTATAATTTAAGGTGTTTGTTTTAAACAGCCATTTCACACTCATATTTGTCATGATGAGCCTAACATCACGGGCGACCAACTAGATCATCTCTCACACAGCAGGGCAGACGACGTGAGAATGCAGACATAAATAAGAAGTCATCCAACAACAAGTACAGCAAACGAGGCGCAGACCAACACCTGTCGCTTTCTTTAGAGAAGGGCCCTTAATTCCCCCGACTGAATCAGTTTAGGCTGAGGGGCCGCCTGGAGCAGCTGCCAGCTGAAGGCATCGTGTTACATCCGCCAAACAGTTGATTAAATCTACTGAGGCTCGGACACAAAAGCCACAAAAAAGAAGAAGAGGCAGGGCTTAGATGCGTAAAACTAGTCTCTGCGTGAACGCTCACAGTTCGCAACTTACAGCTATTTATGAAGGTTTAAACACTGGATATCAATGAGATGGGCTTCAGTAGACAGTCTTGCAGAATGAAGGAGTGCTTCTGACACTACGAACATTTTTTGATAGATTTCAGACTTCAATTATCAGGCTCCGACTTTACATCACGTTTGTGCTTCTGCATGTAGTTTTGCATCTTGATTAAAGTACACACTGGCAACAGCAGCAGCAGACAGAAAAAAACGCAGTCGTTGCGCCAACTCAACGTATTGTCTGTTTAAAGCCCCTCCAGCTCTTCGGGGCTCAGACCGAGGCTGACCACAGACAAAAGGAAATTGCGCTCATTGGCTCGAGCCATGTGCGCTCTGTTGTCCCCTAGCGCGAGCGGTTCAACCCCTATTCACATGTTAATAAGTCCCTATAAATACTAACAACAGCCACTCGGGGCCAAGAGCACGACTCACTAGGATTGGACAATAATCACTGGGCACATCGCCTCGCCTGGAAGTCGATCGGGTTTTTCTTTTTTCTTTTTTTCCCCCCACTGCGTGATACTGGTTCCGCTTGCCAGCTGCCGCCTGCGGACTTACACTAGAGACGAAAGCAGCACGGGGAGAAGCCACAGACGCTGCGATCCAACCAACATGGCCCCTTCGGTTCGGCCCAACAACAGTGGAGTTTTCGTGGAGGATGAAGAACATTACGGGATTCAGAAAGCGGACAGAAAGGTACGCGGCATGCAGACGCTGACGCACCTGTCGGACTGCATCCCCAGAGATAAGAACTAGAGATGTTTTTACGTGGGTAGGACCCTGAAAAGGTTTATGTTTTTTTTTATCACGTCTGAGTAATTGTGTTTAGAAGGAAGGAGTATAAACGATGAGTTTGCTTTTACGCACACCGCATCAGCGTATGCAGGAGGACAGACGCTGTCTGAGAATCGTTGTTTGCTTATCTGCCTGAACTTTTATGCGTCCTGCAGATTAGGAAGCCTCTCGTGGAGAAGCAGAGGCGAGCCCGCATGAATGACAGCCTGCTGGAGCTGCGGACATTGCTGACAGACGCAGACGTAAGGACATGTGGCAAATACTTAATATACCTGTAGAAGCATACAATGGACCAAAAAGAAATAGAGCGTGGTTCCAAAGGAGCTTTTTTTTAAATGTATATTGTTTTCACAGCTTCATTCCAAGATGGAGAACGCAGAGGTACTGGAGATGACGGTGAAAAAGGTCGAGGACATTCTGAAAAGCCGAAATCAAGGTCTGCCCAGTTTTTTTCAGCCTGTCATCTAAAGACAGACAGAGAGAGAGAGACAGAGATATATATATATAGAGAGAGAGAGAGAGAGAGAGAGAGAGAGAGGGAGAGAGAGAACACATGCTGCTTCATTATCACAGTTCAGTCTTACTGTTGTGCTGATGAGAAAAGTTAAAATTCCAGAATAAACCAGCCCAAAAAATTGTGGGCTTTGCAACATGAAAGCCTTTCAGAAGCCCAGAACACATAATACTGCTTTTGATCTCAGGAACCATCAGAATAGTCCAAATCAGCACAAAACAGTTCAAGGATTTCATCAATCAACCACCAGACCAGTCCTGCCTGTAATCTTAGAGAAAAGTTGTTTTTTGTCATTGTACATCTCGGTTTGAGCGCATTGTCGTTTATTTATTGGACTGCTGCTACCAAGACATTTATGCTTTGGCAGCAGTATTGCACCACATGTATATGATTCAGAAAAAAAGAGTTACTTTATTGAGTATTTACCGTTTTCATCGGCGGCAAAGGGATCTACAGAATTCTGTTAGACTGTGTAAACTCTTAAACTTACTCATAGTGATTTTTTTATTTGGTATCTGTTAAACAAATGCATTTTGTACAACATATATCAGAAGTGTGGAAATACATCAACGCAACTTGAGTTTGTTATCAGTGCGCAGAACAGTACTAAAGGGTTTCGGTATTCTGCTTTGTCTGCACAGAGACCGAGACCCTCAACCGAGAAGCGAGTGAGCGGTTTGCAGCTGGCTACATTCAGTGCATGCATGAGGTCCACATCTTTGTGTCCAGCTGTCCGGGGATAGATGCAAAATTGGCAGCCGAGCTCCTCAACCACCTGCTCGAGTGTATGCCCCTGAATGAGGACCACCTCCAGGACATGCTCATGGACCTAATCACAGACACTTCTGGCAACAGCAGCAGCACTTGGCTAAGTGGCAGCGAGACACTCTGCACAGCTCTGACTTCTCCTGGAGGAAGGAGCCAATCCGGCGGCGAGGCTTCAGCTCTTTCCCCGGTTCCCTCCACCACATCCTCTGAGGACTTGTGCTCCGACCTGGATGAGACCGACAGTGAACACAACCAGAGCACGACAGAGGGTGTGGAGAACAAGGAAGTTTTGAACGCACCGGCCTTTACCTACCCTCGGTCCATGTGGCGACCTTGGTAGAACTTTGGTTGGGTAGGTGAGAAATGCTGAAAACAGGAAGAGGGGATTTTTTCTTTCATCTGATCCTGATGCTACTTCTGCAAGAAAAAAAATGCCCCCTTGCATTTTTTCTGTGGTAGTTCTGAAAAACAACCTATGCACTGATTTTCTTGAGGATCGCAGGACTCACCACACTTAATTCCCGTTTTTAATTGAGTTCTAACGCGAGGGAGCAAGTTAGCATCTGACAGAAACTCTAGTGGCCGAAACAACCGTGCATTCTCTTTGAGTAGACCAATATTTTTCAGTAAACCCATATCCAGATGCCTCAATCTTTCATATTTATGTTTGCGTTCTAGGAAGAGTGTGAGTTATAAGTATAGAATGTTGAAGCCGCTGGAACAAGATTTGAAATAAAAACATCCCAGGAGTGTTTTGGATATCACCCAAAAAGGTGATTATTGCCGTTAAAAGCTGGGTTTTTCTTTTATATCCTCAGAGGGGCCCTGCCTCTCATGGCCCCCTCCAGCCTCGGGCCATCTGAAAGGACTCCCCTTTTCTTTCTCTGTTGTAACACCCTGGCTGTCAGTCCTCTGATTAGACTTGTCCTCACACCTGGAAGAAGAAGAAGAAAAATGAATGTTTTGTTTCAACGCTTGTCCCAAAGGACAGAAAAGGACTAGTACCTGCTATTCACTATTATTTTGTGTTATTGTGTATGTGTTTTATATTTGGAGAAAAGCTCTTTTTAGAATCCACCAAGTTTGACTATGCCTCTGATTAATATAAATATTTTAATAATATTTCATAAACTTCTGTAGTTTGAATAATGGATAGCCTTCTTAAGACCACTTAATGTTGTAATTATTTTTAGAATTGCATGATAAAGTCTGAACTCAATTAATAAAATGCTGTTAATTGAAATACTTTTGGGATGGTGTGAATTGGTTTAGTATTCGGTTTTAAAACTGAACCAACCAACAGAATAGATCATTTTGTTTATCTGAATGTACATCCATATACTTTCAACTTTAACAAGAGAAGGTTAGATTTACAAAAGCACAGAGTTAAAAAAGGCAATCTATATTGAGTAATCCTTAAATTCCTAATTCACTGCTCATCTACGTCAGGATAAGCTCGTGGACAAATGGAAAAGTTTCCCTAAGAAATGTCTTTACTGTCTGCTAATTTACAATGATCGTTAACAAATCCACGTTAGATCCTGTCTGAACCAGCAGGCTTCATTTCTGTTAAACAATCAAACCGTATAACCAGTCTGCTTTCGGTAGTTACAAAGTGCATTCATCGCAACATTGGCCTTGATGTGTATACTATCAGTAGAGAAACACGTGTTAATCTGTAAATAATCGAAAAAGATCATTAACAGATGATCTTGGACTCCTAGTAGAAGGTTAATCAACAAAAATCTGGAACAGGAGGAGATCGAGGAAGAAGCGGGGGATGACCGAGGTGTGAAAGTCAGAAAAGTTACACTTAAACGTGATTTACTGTTGCCTTTAACTGTGATCAAAGCTGTTGGGTGTTATGTGACTGAAAGAGTCATAAAGAAGAAAAACTATGTAAAAAGGTTACGCTCCATCAAAGCCACCGGACTTGAAGCTCTCACAAGCAGATGCTGTGTCACACCAATTCCTATTTTTGATCCAGATGAGAAATCAAGCCACAATTGTTCTAATTTTCTGCTTGTGAGGACTAGTTTTACTTTTTTTTTTAAAGTATTATATGTCTTCTGACACAGCAGAGAAGACCTCCGTGTCTTGGTGGAACAAACAATTAAAATATGGATGAAATGACACACATTGTTAATGTAACCCTTTAGAAGTAAAATTGAAAAGTAATACAGAAAGGTAAAGTAATAGAGAAAATGATCAAAAAGGAAATCATATCTGTGCTACATTGAAATTCAAAATGAAAATATGTCTATCTCTAACAGATTTCTTTCAGTTACAACATCCAATATGTTCTCGTCTGAGTGTCAGTGATGTATGAGGTGTCAGTATTTGGAAAACTCAACATTTGGATTTAGTTTACATCAATGCCAATTCTGTATACAGGATCCTCTCTCACTTTGTTTTAGTTTGTTTGCTTTGGAAAATGATCTTTTGAAAGAAGATCAGGAAATTTGGTTGAAGATCTTCCAAGAAGTTACTTATAGTGAGCCGTGGGAACACAATTTTTGCTGATCTTTGTGTTTACGTTTCGTTTAATTTATCATTAGTTTGAAACCATTAGAACAAATTAAATCTCAAAGATTCCGGGATAAGGAGGCAAACAATTAATTTAAAAAGTTTAGAATGGTGACTATACATACGGTTGGTATTTTAAGCCACGTTATTTAGCAGATGAATATAGTTAAGCATACTTAAGATAAAATGTTTCCCCTAAAACAATTTCAATAAAGTCCTTTCCAAACGATTTAATGGTGATGTGTAAATGGATGGATGAATGGATGTAAATGGTATTTTTATACGCTGAAAAACATCACATACGTAAATATGTACACTGTGATTCTAAGAGAGTAGTCATGTGTCTGGGAAAATCTGGGAGGAATATCAAACAAGAGGAAGGACTTCTGGAGCCAAACGCATCAGCTGTGTGTTTGTGACTGAGCATATGAATTCTGAGGTGAGAGGTCAGTTAAGGGCAACAGTTGGCTTGAGAGGGATTCAACGGCAGAAGTGAGCATATGGTGCTGAAACAGATCCCCTGGGGCAATCTACTATCCTTTGGTGCTTCTCCATTGCCTTTGACTGTGAGAGAACAATCCCCCTTTTTAACAGCAGCAGTATGCTGTGCTACATGCAAGATGCAGCAGAATTAAAATGTCTCATGATCTGTTCCTGGTTAACTTTTGTGGACTTATTTTTTATCTGAATTAAAGTACTCATGAGGAATACTGAAATATTTCTAGTGTATCTATTGGGAATCAGCATGTAAAGTCAGAGAAAAAGATTGTTAGGGGATTTTATTGCTTGTAGGGACGGATAACAAAAAACTATCTTTACTGTTTCCTAAAATTGACAGAAGTGAAAAAATGGTTGACATCCTCTATTCTGCTTAAAAGATGTGTTGGTCTTTGGATATTCCCTTAGCATTAACATATATCTAATATTCAAATGCAAGTGAAGACAACAAAGTAAACAGTCTATAAGTTTCTGACCATTCCAAACACTCAGGTCATTCAGGCTTTTTAGGGGTAAGTTATTCAGTCTTATAAACTTTTGAGGCACGTTTTCAAATAAATAAACATTTTTGTCAAGATTTTTTAAAATAGTAGTTGTGTTTCCAATATTGTCTCTTCAAACGGCTGTTCTTTTTTCCCTAGCATCTCAAAATTATTATACATAATTATTTATAAGTATAACACAGAGCAGTGCATACCCCAAACATTAGAAGACTCAGCTCTGATTATGATTTGGAAAACAGCAAGAGTTCAGCTAGAGCCATATCCATACCAATGAAGATCCCCAAAATCCAGGATTCATTTTCCATATGGCTGTATCTCCTTTTCTGTTTTTAAAGAAAACAAACAATGACTTTATTGCAAGATTAAACAATTTTTCGCCTGCAATCCAGGATGTTCCAATCCTGACCTAATATATGTTTTCTGTCTTTCCAATTCTTGAATAGCCTCAGGGTGCAGTTATTGTAACTGATATGGATGCATGTTTTGTTGGGCATTTTCCCTCCTATTAAGCCTAACTCATGAGCCAGTCTCACTTAATGTGGGTGTTTGGTTTCGGCTGACTTAATTGCAGTCTTGTAATGGTCGCCATTTGTCTTACCCAAAGGTATTTGTAACTGTCATAAACATTAGTTATGGTGCCTCCTGGTAGTTTGACTCCCTGCATCTCTTAAATGTTTGGTTGAGAGACATTTGCCCTAAAATCAAAACTAAATCCAAGATCCTTGCTGTATCTAATTTGAATGGCCCAATTTGTTCGAGAAAATTTGTAATTGACTAAACAGTGTAAAAGTCAACCTGCCTCAACCCCTTATTTCCACTCAACTATGTCACGCCTATTGAAAGTAATGTTTCAAAATTTTGTTCTGCTGTTTGCTTATGACTGTACGTTCATGACCAAACATGCTTTAAGTTCTGCTAGCAATGTTAGCACAAGCCCTATCGAGGCTTAGCTGCTAGTTAAATAAAGAAAACACTGGTCCACACTTTAAGCCCAGATGATAGTGAGGTACAAACTGATGTGTCAAGCCAAAACCCTGGTTTTCCAAAGTGGCCATCAACCTTATAGTATGGATTAGTGAAAATCTTCACACTGCACAGTATTTTTGGATAACGTATGTAAAAAGGCAGGGAATGTCAGTTGTTTTCAGAATACTTGTGTTCCTTTGTATGCTGAAGTTCTGTGAGATGGTCCACAATTGCAGTTGAGCTTCACAAATTTTCTCTCATGTGGATTTTTGCCCATAAAAGTTATGAACAGAATCAGTTACAAAAGGGAACCATGGCGGATTAAAGACTTAATTTTGTTTCCCTTAGATATGTCATTTGCATCTGTCTGATTTGAAAAAAATCCATGTACTCTTTACAAAAAGAGCTGTGTTCTTTCAGCCTTTGAATGTAAAAGAAGCAGTTTTGTCATGTATTGAGTAGGTATAATCATATAAATGAACAAATATGTAAATAACAAATATTTTGTGTTAGAGCAGAATAAAGTTGCATCCTTGAAGCAAACTGACTGGACATTCTGTGGGTACCATTTGCAGCTTTGGATCCGAGGTAAATTGTTAACGGTTCCAACCTCTGTACTCGTTAGGAATGGCTTTTATATATAAAAAGACTCAAAGATATAAAAGCAAATAACTTATATGTTTCTAAAAGTGGGAGGCAGAGTATTGTTGGTTAGTTGTCAGCCCACTCTGGAACCGGTGACCAATATATGTCCAGGAAGTAGATACTCTCTCCAGTTATTTGGACTTTCTTATACTCTCCGAAAACATGCATGTTAGGTTCATGTACACAATAAATTTCCCCTTAGCCCTTAGTCCTTACCCTGCCTCTCACCCAATGTCAGCTGGAATAGGTTCCAGTATATTCCACCAATTGCTTGCAACCCCACTCTGAATAAATGGAATGGAAAATGGATTTTATAGAAATGTCCATTTGTGCACTTGACTGCCCTTCTTTTGGAAAATGAACGGAACAGTCCGTTCAACGAAAGGGAAACAGTCCACAGCAATCACAAACTGTTTAGATCCTGAAATGTTGTGCTCGACAAGAGAGATTCCCCTCTGTGGGGTGAGGGCAAAACTGATTAGTCATCTTCATTTCACAAGCAAATGCTTAAAAATGTTTAATCGAAAGGAAAGATAACTTATCACAATGCATTATGTTATTTAAGCTGCTGGTCATATGAATAAATTAGAAAACAAATGTTAAATATTGATTTTATTTATTAATCTTAAAATTTCACCAGCTTTTCTTGTGAGGGCGTTAATACAAAACCATATAAACATCTACTTGTGTGTATACTATCCTTTATTAGATAGTTAATTTATTGTCTTTGTTCTTAATCTTTTGTATTTAGATTTAAATGACACGTGTCACTGTATATCAAGTCAAATAAGTGAAGGTTCAACACATCAAACAGATCCAAAAGCAAGACTCAGTAAAGATGCTGCAGTAATGATGCCCCCTAGTGGATCATGACTGACAATGTAACTTGTGATTATGTGAAGCACTAACATACCAGTGAATAATAAAAGCATTTTGTAGATGAAGCTGTCTTTTGTTCTAAACACTTCGATTTCCTATTAAAATATTTTGTGTCTGTATGTGCCTAACCCTTCCAACAAAGTTTTAAACTGCTTCTGTTTCAAATGCCCTCATTTACCATTCTCACCAAGACACAGTCAGATGCTAAAGTCAAGGTTCATTCCAAAGACTTGACCAAAGATTTGCTGACACTAAACGAACAGTTCTAAAAAATAAAACAATCACAAAAATAATGTAGATATAATTAATTAATATGCTTTGTTGATCCCAGCCTGGGAAATTTCTCTGCTACAGCAGCAGCCTAGAAAATGTGCACAGTGCATTGAAATATTATAATAATACAAAAAAGTGATTAGATAAAACGAACTTGATGTAACAAAAAAATGACTACTTGTGTGAATATTTGTGGCTTCTATATTTTAGCCCTGGCCCAGTATTTTTCACTTTTAGGTTCAGCTTTTATATCCCTGGATTTGACCAATGTTTGGAATTGTTCACTCATTTGCATTATGGCCTATGATAAAAAAAATCTTGAGAAAAAGACAAAATAATCATTTTCGTGATCAACAAAGCATGCTGTCCTTCAATACAACTGCAGTGTTAGAATAACAAATTAAATATTAAACCGTGTCATTATTTGTGTTAAAAAAAAAACTAAAAATGCAGAAGTAAAAACCCAGTAAACCTTAAGAACCTCATGGGTAGCAATAACTTCAAACAATAGTTTTTTTTTTTGTATGGTGTTAACAGTGTTCCGCATAACATCGATTTGTTATGAGCACTTTAATTCCTGTTTAGGAATTGAGTGGCAAGTGGAAAGTTCTGATTCAAATTCGAGTTCCAACATGGTTTGATGGATGAGCCCAAGTCTATTTTTGGGAGTCCACCTTGAACAATTGACCGAAAAATACGAGAGGCAAGCTCTGTGTAGTAACGGGCTTCATTACTTGTGATATAATGAAGAATTGTTGAATTTCAAATGTACATTTTTCATCTGTTCTGCCTTCTGTTCGTAGAGTCCTTGGGCTGCAGGAGTCATTGGCACCATGACACTGGATTAAAGGTCTGGGTGACACCAAGTTTCCATTGGGGAGGGGAAAAACATGTTGGGGATGAAGTCAACAGGGTTTTTGAGTGCAAGGTACTATTTGCTGAATATTTGGTAGATATGTGCTTGTTATGTTTGGTGTGTTTTACTTGTCGGGGGTTTTGTGAAAAATTGACTGTTCTCTTCAGATGGTAGAGCCTGGGGAGTATTTAGGGGGGGAAGTTGTTCTAGATCCTGCAGTAGTGAGACACTATCCAAACCCCCGGAAGGAAGAAGATTTACCCCAGAAAGGGGTTTGTGGACTGAGTTGCAAGAAGCAAATGAACCCTCATGATATTGAAGCACTATTCATCGGACTGGCTTGTTCTCTGCGATACAAGAAATACCACCGACCAAAAAGTAAAGAAGTCACAAAAAACAAACAAGGTAGGAGTCAGACTAGTTTTTCATTTCATTTTAATTACAACATTTTTCCAAGTTTTAAACAACACATGTTCTCATCTACGAAATTGCACAAAATTGTGCTAGTTTAATATACTGCAGACGCATACAGTGGCAACAAGGGAAAAAATTACATGACCATACATAACACCATGTGCCACCATGTACCTTGTGTATACAATTACAGACTGGTGCCTCTAAGAGCCAGCCATTCTGTAAAAAAAAAATCATTTTTTCCTATTTGCACAGCCTTGAAAGATGAGACAAACTCAGCATACTGATTAGCCCCTTTTTACATTTTCAAACGAATGCATGACATTCTTCAGGGATTCCACGCAGGTAAGGGTCGGAGATGTATTGAAAACATCTTGCCCAAAATCGGATAAAAGACAGAGACAGACTGCAGTTGCTAAATGAGGCAGCGGGTTTCTCGACTTTCTGCACATTCATTCACTCAGTCACAGAAGCGAAAAGCTAACAGAAGGAGGAGAGACACGCACACAAACACACAATGTTTGAGGTAGACACTCTGTACAAGTCAATCGCTCACAGTTATCACTCGAGTGTCTGACCACTCCATCCATTGCGCTTTGTCCACATGCATATATCAGGCATTCTATGTTGTGCCTAGAATAACCTGACCTGGGATTTATCAGTGGTAGGGTTCATCCCCAATGACACTCAAAAGCTCTCACCATCATTGTACAAATATAATTACACATAGTAACACGAGAAAAATAGAAAAATAGAATAAAAAAGTTACAAGATTACATTAAAAAAGCAACAACACAACAATACATCAAAATGAACTGAGTCAATGGTCTATGAGATGCTGTTGGTCCAGTCTCTGTTACATTCACAACCCCTGTTTCTCTGTGTTAGCACCACAGTTGTTCCCAGTTCCTATGCTGTCAGGGGCAGGTGCATGTCACAGTTTTCTTAATACTTCATGTTTAATGACGAGGGGCTTGCATGGTTCGCATCTCGGTGTTCATGAAAGGCTTACTGAGGAAACACAATCCCCGTATTTGCTACAGTTGTAATGCTGTTTTCCCACCATACTGCCGACAACAATTTTTGATTCGGATGTTGGCCTCGAGAGTCGCACCACACACTTAATGACAGTGGTCACTGTACTCAAAGAACCAAACCTGTCAATATTAAAACTTAGCGCCAAAATTTTTTGACACTCCCCATGTTCTTTAAAAAAAACTTGCAGAGTAATTTTAAAAGGGACACAAGAAAAAAAAAAGTACATGAAAAAGTGTTCAAGTGGAGACACTGTAGTTTTTGCATAATGTAGGATTTCTGACAGATTTGTTCCAGAAGCCGTGTTAGGTGGTAGTGCTTGCTACATGTTTTGTGAAAACATTCTTTTTCAGTATTCTAGAATATGCATGGAAACAACTTTCTCTTAAAAAAAAGATTTTCAGATGCTAATTATAGGGGAAAAGGAATCAAATCTGATGGATTTTAAAAATTCAAAATATATCCGTACTTTGTTTAAAAAATAAAAACTCCCCATTCTAACATGTTTAACATAATTTTTTATTTTGCAGCTTCTTAAAACATAATAACTGCCAATATCTTCGTAGCACCTAGGCTGTTTTAAGGATAGTCCAGCCACGCCTGTTAGTTGTCCTGCGAAGTGAGCAAAAGTGACTTGTAGCATTTACTGTTAGAGAATGTAAGTGTTAATATATTATACTATAGTTGGACTTGTAGAGCTTCAACTTAAAAACCTATTCTACCAACTTATCTAACTCCAAAATAAATAATAAATGTAAGAATAGATCTCTTTATCAGATTGTCAACATTGAGGAAAGTAATTCTCTGCATACGCGCCAATCCCTGCCCAGCAGAGTCAAGTGCTTCCACTGCTTCTATTCAAACATGACACAAAAGTGCGGGGTGCCCTCTTATTTGACCTGGCCTACTCCATCCAATGAACAGCGCAAGTATTCTACACAAATATTGATGAGAAAACCACAAGCACACCGGAATTGAAAGATTATCAACTGGACCTTGGAGAAAGCACAAACATTAGGAGGGGTAGCTCAGTTTTGTAACAGCAGTGCTGGGCTACTTAATGGGACTTTTTCTCTTTTTAAAGACAGTTTTTTGACAACAGTTTTGTAAAAATGAATTTCCTAAAGCATTAAAGCGAAACGATGAGCTGTTTAGAGGACTGCGATTCGCACTTTGGTTGGTATACAAAAATAAAAAACTTTGCGTCTGATCCAGAGATTGGAAATGACCCTACTAAAGACCAGGTAGTTTCAGAGACTGCGCGTGTGTGTAATATGGCAAAACACTACATTTGGATCTTTCGTTCTTGCTGTCCCTATGTAAGAGTGCACTGAGAACTGTCATCAGTGACATTTCAGCAACCACCATAAACACACACTTTAACGCATCCTTATAGCAACCACACTGGCTGCATAGTCCTTGTGTGTTTGTCAAGATGGTCAGGCACACATCCACAATTTGTGTGTACGGTGCTTTGAATGTTCACATCTAGATGGGTGTGTCCCCACGTCGTGTTCGTGCTCACGAGACTGAGTCTGGTTGCGACTGGGGTTCTTCTGATTGGTTCTGGGCACTTTGGCCCTCTCTGCCCAGCTCCTCGCTCAGCTCGCCCATGTCGATATCCGGCAGGTTTTCTTCGATGGGTGCAGCCGCTGCATCCTCGCAGTACACACAGTCCTGAAAAAAACACACGTTAGGTGAGTGACCACACACTGCCGCTCTGCTGCTTTCTGAAAACAAGAACTGGGTGTGCTCTTCACCTTCACATTGATAGCTGCCGGGAGACCCCCCCTCCTCATCCAAGGATGTTCCTCAACAAGCTCTCGTCGCTGATCAGAGGTAAAATGAGGTTGGCCCTTCTGCATTTGCCTGAGTCGCTCCTTGTCTTCTCGAAGAACCCTCTGAATATCCCTGTTGAGCATGTGGTTAGAAGAGTCACATAACGGTTGCAAAATAAAAAGGGTATTTGGAGAAAACATTTTTTCAGCATAAGCATCAGTTTCAAAACACAAAGTAGTGCAGTCTTTTCTCTGGGAAAGCATCTCACCTGGATGGCATTTGATAGGTCATCATGACTTTGTCATCAGCATTGGCCATCAGCAGCCAAAGTGGCTCCTGTAGAACATATTTGATGAAGTGATCCCCTTCCCCTTGACTTGAGGCTTTTGCTTGTGACTTGCTACTCTCAGAGGCTCCTTTGCATCTCATTTTTGGCTTCTCCTTAGGATCGTGTTCGAGGGAATCAACGCTGCCGAAGTATTTGCTGGTGTTGCTGCTTCCTAAAAACGGTTAATGAGGCACAAGGGGAGGAACATAGGAAATTAGATGTATTTACTTTGCCACATGTATTTATAACAAGTTCTACATTGTGACCACATTGGTTCAAAATCCTTCAATTGATAATTCTCAGCTGACCTGTTCTGCTCGCTGACGTTCGACAGCCATTGCAGCCGGAACCTGAACCCGAGCCGGATCCTGACCCTGATCCTGAGCCCATCGAGCCGGATCCTGACCCTGATCCTGAGCCCATCGAGCCAGAGGTGGCTGACCCAGTGCCCGAGTGAGAGTCTTCCTGCTCCTGCAACAGAATGTCCAGTAGGTCGCAGGATGAGGAGTTACCGTCGCTTTGACCATCGCCAGGAGATTCCACCTAAACCATATTCAAAGGGAGAAATATATGGACTGTGTAGCACGGCGGCTTTGTGTGAAATAAGTGTGGATTACAATAGCTCTCAGGCTAGAGAAAGAATGTAGCTCTCACCTGTTGATGGTTATCGGCTTTAGCTGTACTGCTCATCTTTTCCCCTGCTGCCCCCACTCCCGCAGACACCGCTGCGCTGCTGCCTTGTCCTCCGGCAGGGGTCAGTGAACTGTCCTGGCGCTCCACTGATCTCTGACCTTCCTCCATGCTCAACAGATTGAGCTGCAGGGGCGAGCTGCATCGTGACTCAAACAGTGGGGGTGACGTGGTGGGTTCTCGCACTCCAGAGGCAGGGGTGGAGGATCGCGAGGCTGCGCCCTCTCTGGGCTCAACCGTAGGCACTTTGGGGAGCTCAGTGGCTATGGTGTAAGGGAAGGGCTGAGGCTGAAAAGAGGTCGGGGCAACAAACTGAGTTTGCACCGGGAATGAGGTCTGGGCAGCAAAGGGTTGCTGGGTAGTGTAGGCAGTCTGAGGGGCCTGGAAATGCTGCTGAGTGGAGTATGGGGTCTGAACGGCTTGGAACGGCTGCGGGGGAGAGAAGGCAGTCTGTACAGGGAAAGGTTGTGCGCTGGTGAAGGAGGGCTGTGTTTGCATGGCGAAAGTAGGCTGGGGTGCTTGAAATGGCCTCTGGGCAGCGTACCCGGGTTGCGTCTGGGTCTGCTCGGGGAAAAATGTTGGTCTTGGCGCCGCGCCAACCTGAGTCATCTGACCCATCGGTCCTATTTGAGGAAAGATGTAATTGGGTAACACCAGAGCGACAACAGGTGTAACAATGGGAGCAGTAAATGGTGTGGTGGTAGGTGGAGCTCCGGTGCTCTGTCCTTCTCCAAAGCCAGTGGGGAGGGAAGGGTCGGGTCGAGGGGCCTGAGCTGAAGCAGCCGGCGTTGGCGGGAAGAGAGGGTATGCAGGAACCATGGCGGGGTAGGAGACATTAAAAGCTGATAGGGATGCTTCTGATGGGGACCAGGAGGTCTGGTTGAGGCCCTGGAGGGGAGGGCGGGGTTTGCGGTTGGACACAGTGCTGTCTGATGAATCTGGATGCTTGATCCTTGGCTTCTTGGACTTCCTGTTACGGCTGCCCTTTTTAGCAGTCGTCTCTGGTCTTGTGGTGCCTTGTTTGGCAGTACCTCGTGGTCCTGCCGTTTCTGAGAAGATGCATGCAGGAGACAAGAAAATTGTTTTAGTCAAACTAAGAAACGTGCGTATCGCTCTAAACTGGATACCAGGATCCAAACTTTACCCTCAAAGTGCACGAGCTGACATCCAGCTATAATTATGTCTAAATAACTCCTACGCAGTATGTGTTCACACTCTAAAAGTTGCCTTACCTTCAGCGTTGGCTGGTCCTCTCTGTTTGTGAGGATACGAGGAACATTCTTTCTGAAAACTCCTGGCGTTGCGCAGCTCTCGGCAGCGGTTCAGAAAGGCCTGCTCTTCTTTTTGTGTGTGCGCTGCAAGCACCTGCTTCGTAAGTCCCAGCCTCTTGTAGGCCTCTTTTTCTTGGCTGGGTGGAGACACCACGCTCACTGGCGGAGCAGGAGGGGCCGGGCTCTCTGCCACATCCTCGATGATCTCTGCAGGACATCACGTCAAACGTCTCATTATCAAAAAGGTGGGCTTTGTGTTGTGTGTCATTCCCTTCAAAAAGTCTTGATTTTCAAAACTCACCAGATTCTGGCTGAGGCTTTTTGTCTCCAACATGGACAATGGTGCTGCTGTAGCTGCACTGAGAGGTGATTGACACCACGCTCTCTGCCTTACTGTGCAAAGTGAGGGGTGCAAGGGTGCCCCCCACAACGGCAGCTGCCCCAGATGGAGGCTTCTTGAGTGCTTTCATGTTGGACAGGCCTGGCTGGGAGTCTAGCATCAAAGGAACTGGAGGATTTGAAGAGAGTCTTAAGTTAGCTTTCGCATAATTCAGGTTAGATATCTTTGGTTATTATTTTATACTTAATGGCAAATCAACCCAATTTACAGATCTAAACTCACAGATTTCATGACACGCTATGTGCAGGTGTACTAAAGCAATAAGTCTACGCACCTGTGTGGCTATCCTGAGGCACTTGGACACCATCATCTGAGCCCCTCTTGTCATCATCTGAGTTTGATGAGGTTGTGTTTGATGAGAACTGGTACTTTCTTTTGACTGTGATGGGGATATTACAACTCTCCAGATACCTAGGGATCAAAAGGGTGTCAATATCAAATATCCCACGTTGCTCACAAAGAGAAAACAGTAAAGTTCATAATTTGTGAACACAGCACACCAAGCCTATGTTACCTTATCACACTGTCGAGACAGCTGATTTGCTGGTAGGAGCACACGGTCTGGTCTTTGCAGATGAAGTCCTCCATGCTGCCTGCGGTGCTCTCTCTGAACTGCTGAGTGGTCGGTGAGTCCTTGACACGCACCCCAGAACTCCTCTGAGTTGCTGCTGACACTGGAAAGAAAAAAAAAGGTCAGAACAAAGGTGTGAGGTAATACACGGCCCACTTTGCAATACAGTTTAAAAGACAACAAAGCCCTGAATAGGTGACATTTTCTCTGTAAAAATCAGGGGAAATGTTCACAAGAGGTGGATATGTTTTTATATTTGTCCTCAATTCTTTTGCACAACTTTAGCTGTAACTGAAAAAGGAAACCTATGTCATAATGTGGCTACTTGCTTGCATCATACTGAGAATGTTCCTGGTTTTGCTGCAATAAGCTGAACTTACTGTCGGCACTCTTCCTCTGCTCATGTTTGGAGGCCCATGGGGAAGGTGGGGAGCGCAGGCCGACCTGAGAGTCCTGATTCTTCTGCATATGGACTCCCTTGCAAATTTCCTGAAAGGTCCTGGAGGGCTTGGTTGTGCCCGTCTCTTCTGTTGCGGTTTCAGTTGCTACGTTCCCGTTGCTTTCGCTGGATGAGCTGATGCTCACCTGTTGCTCGTGAGAACCGTTGCTGCCGTGGCTGCCGTAACCACTTGACCCCATATTGTGGACAGGCTGTGGAGAAAAAAAAATGGTTAAAGTGACTGACAAATGTCTCTCAGGGGGTGCAAGCTGAACACTTTTGTGTTTGCATACTTGGAGTAGCAGTCTGTGGATCTGCTCGCTTATTTCCTGGATGTCAGAATCCATCATCTTCCCTCCATGGAAATCCGGTGCCGCGAAGACATCTTCGTTGACAGGACCCCTGAAACAAATAGAGACACTGCTGTCATCGAGCTCCTTCAAGACAATAGTCAATAAAAGTTTGAGACTGCCAGCATCCTTTAAATACTCACATGCGGACTTTGTGTCTGCCAATCACAAAGGAGACCTTGCGGCTCCAGGGATTGACAAAGCTTGACCAGCTGGTGTCGATAGTGATGTACTCGCCATTTCTTGCACAAAAACGGACCGAGGAGTGGTCAAATGGCTGACCGGCATACTGCAAAACTGTTGGAAACAAGGTGGGTTTCCATTATTAGTGACAAAGACAAAAAATTAAAATAGACAGGATAAACCACTCAGAATAAAATTAACAAATAATTGCTTCATATATTTAAAAAGATTAAAGAATAGGAGAAAAAAATTAAAGAAAATAAAAACAGCGTTCTCACTTTTTCGATGTATGGCCAGCATTAAAGGTCTATCACTTGGGTGAAGATTGAGAAGTACAGGAGTCCCGATAAGATCCTGAGGGAGGTAACCCAAAAGCGGCACGGCCCTGTTGGAGAAAAAAAAAAAAGATACTTAAAATGAATTCATAACATGAAAACAAGCAAAAAACAATCAAACAAACAAAAACTTCCATAAGAGTGTAACGGGTTTCACGCACCTCTCATCGACATCCTGGAAAACACAGTTTGGTGTGTGTGTGGTTGTGAAGATTCGCTTGTCTGGGGGGATTCTGGGGGCTAAATGGAATGAAAATGACAAGAAGAAATGAAATAACTCATCAAAACTCAAAAGAAATTTTATAAGGATTACAGAGCGCAAAACATAACTCAGTTTTTCTAAGTGAGTTTAGTGAATTGCTGTTAGTAGGATTAAATACATTTCAAACAATTGCTGCCAGACATGCAAAATGTATCCTGTTTTTACAGACCTAAGAAACAATGTTGCCCTGTTTTGAATAAAGATGGGTCTTCAAGTGTTTTTCTGTGTGTAAAGCCATCAGAATACAAGCTAAATTGTCACCTTCATATCCAGAGTGTACCCGCTCGGCCAGCAAAAGGCAGCAGAACTGCTCCTCTGCCAGCTCAGCATCCTGCACTTTCATCAGATATGGAGTCATCCGGAAAGGATAGTACTGGAGATCCCCCTCGCGTTCCTTTCCGCCACTGAAAGACAGACACGTTGTTGGTAATCTGTCTAGCTTCAGCACAGCATTTCATTTAATTGTACAAATGATTTTGTTTTCACATCTGGCTTCCCTTTAGTAAACATCAGCTAGCTTTCATTGCTTCCAAAACCTCTATGTTTGGTCTTTGCACTCAAAGTCAGAACTCCATACAATAAAAGGGATAATCAACCCCTTATTAATAAGTAATTTATATTCACAAAACAAATCAGACTTTGGCAAGTCAGTAAATGTCTTAACGAAACTTACGAGTGATCATAAAGCCAAAATATTATGCCATTTGTGCTAGTTTAGTACTTTATATGATACACATAATGTTCAAATCTTAATCAAGCTGTACTGTGTGTAAAAATGATATCATATAGCATCATTATAAAAATTGACAGTTCTTTTTGTTTTTGATGGTAGCAGTTACCCTGACTGGCCACTAGATGGGGATGCAGTTTATAAACTCATAGCTGCTTCCATTTCCCCTCCATCTCTCTTTAGAGTTGGTCTGAGCAGGAAACTAAATCAAATAAGCTGCCACTCACCTGATGCGGCAAAAGAAGGATTTCTCCTGCATGCACTCCGTGGGAGACGACTCTGAGTAAGACAAGGGGGAGATTCACATATATGAATACATAATCAAATAATGTTTACTACAGTATGTATAAAAACTACCATATCTATATGCATCATACAGATCACTGGACCAGCAAGTTGAGCACTCATCAAGGTGGGTAAAAATACTAATGCAAGACTGAGTTTGAACAATGATTGAGTACAATTTGGGATTAAAACAATAGCTGCCCATCGCCTGCACAAGTTCGAACACCCAATGATCCCTGGACTGACACAAATCCAAAAACGGACAATGACTTCCTTTTGAAACACCAGACACAGGCATGAGATTGACATGAGGGGAGAAGAATAGCCTTTTCTAACTGTCCTAACTTCATGGAAGAGCTAACCTCCCACATTGATTGGAAAATGAAGTAGAGCGTAGGTGCATCAACCAAATTGTTAAACAGGTGCTTCAGTTGCTCCAATTGTGAGGATTTCCTCTGCCAATCAGTGACAGATGCATGGGGGTAGGTGTGGAATCATTACTGATTCCGTGCTGGGCATGTTAACGAAATATGTGCAGATCATACCTCACATGTATCATACACATGTAGATGGGACATGTGTAAGAAACAGATTCATGCGTATACACAAGATTTGGGTTGTGTTTCACGTGGATTTACAACGTGCACTTGCACTTGTGCACATGTACCAAAAAACGTGCTCTGTTTTTTTTGGAAACAGTCTATCCGGACCCACAAAGGTCCATGAACTCCAAAAGGTTGTATGCTCGCGGTTCGCCCGTACCTGCTCCAGTGCACATGCTCCATGACGGCAGGCGGTAGGGTGTGGTGAAGCTGTAAAACACACTGACGTCCTGGGGTGTCAGGAACTCCACAAACTTCGCATTTTTGAAGACTTCGTGCTTGCAGTTCAGTATGGTAGCCGCCTGGTCCGAGATGTAAACGATCTTCCCCGTGATGAGGGACACGGCTACAGCAAATATGTCCTACAGATGTGAAGATAAATGCGTCACCAAGCCATCGGGTAAACAAGATGGTGCAGGGGTTTTGTACAGATATGTATCCCCCGATATTAGTTTAAGTCTAAGTGTAAATGATGATAAAGTCTTAGTAGAGTTTGTTGGCTAAATTATATGTTTACAGGTTAATACGTTATATATAACCTGGCATACACTCAGTGTTTCATATGAGGCGAGGCGTGGTGATGCTTACAGTGTTTTTTACGGTGTATTCAGAAGTGATGGTGTTTATTTCCTCAATGGTGTAAGATGATACATCGAACCCAGGAGGTTGACTGTCATTTATCATCAGCATCTGGTAGTATTCTTCATTTGCTGCAAAAGTAAAACCACACCAGTTAGTGCGCACGTCACATCTCCACAAATCACGGCACATTTTTCCAAAGTACACTGGCAAGAATAGTGCGAGCCTGTGGGAAAGCGTGGCTTACCTTTCACCTGCTTGATGCACCTCAGCGCATATTTGAGCGTGTTGACCGTGCTGGACTTGCCTTTGCTCCTTTTTTCAGAGGGCAAATGCATCTTTAGCTCTTTGAGAGTCTTGAAGAGCTCCTTCTGTGTCTTAGCTTTGGCTGACTGCTCGCTGCTGTAGGACGCAACAAGACAGATATACGTGGCGTCAAAAACAACAAGGTGGCAGCGATGATGCTGGCTTTCCAGCATGGGGATCAGAACAGAAGGCGAGTCGACGGGTTGCGGGAGGCGTCTTTTCTCATGGTTTGCCTTTAAAAGTTAGAACTCTACACTGTACGGCACTGTGTACCAACCTGCAGCCGCTGGTTGAAGGGTTGTCCTGCTCGGAGCTGACCAGACTGAAGGCATTGGAGCTGCTCGGTGGAGAGGGGCTGTGGGAGTTGGAGCTGTAAACACGGTAAACCCAACATGTTATTTACCAGGAGGACATAACTAAACATGTGCAGATAAAAGGTGTTGGAAGATCATAAAAATGTTTTGGATTTAAATTGTCCCTGTCATTTTTTTCAGCTCGACTTATTGTCAGTACTGCTTGTTTGAAGTGTTTTCAGTTGGACTTTCAAACTGACAACTGCATGATGTAAATGAAGATGGAGACAACGTCGGTTATGTAATCAGAAGCGAGTCTGCTTTTAACAGACAATAGGTGATAATGAGGTAATGGTGGGGAAGGCCATATTATATACCCTTTTACAAGTCTGAATTGCATGAGGTGAATCAATAAATGCTACACCCTCTGTGGATTTAAACAAGAGAAAGAACCATATTTAATAACATGCCTTGCATAAGGTTCCCTGTAATCTCCAAAACTAGCAGTTTTAGTGGCCTTTCTTTTGCCAGCAGACAGAAAGTTTAGAAATGGCCATTACACGTTGAATAATTGGCACAATGCTCCCCTCATTATCATTTCGAAGATAATAAGACACTTTAAAAATTGTTTTTTAAATAAATGTTCCATCTATTTTTCACAATATATATAAATAAATACTAATAATAAATACCTCCTACTGCTTTCTTCTACATTGAGCACTCACTTAAGTATGACAAGAATGACTCATTTATGAATCAGAATGGAGAAAATGAACCTTCAGTGACTAAAAATCCCTGTATTTAACACGATTCAGTGAACCTGGTGGGATCTCACCTCTTATTGCTTCCTGAGGACTCCATAAGAGCGGAATCCTTGCCATTGCCGTTTGAGCTGCCGACCGACTCATTGCCGTGGGACTCATTGCCATGTGACTCGTTGCCATGGGACTCTGTCCCACTCCCACTTGAGCCGCTGCCACCCATCTCTACATCCTCATGTAAAGGTTTCCGCTGGCGCTTCCTGTCATCGTGGCCCAGTGAGGGAGGGTGCTCGTGGCTACTGTCACTCCCTTCAGAGGTCAGCCCTAACTCGGGTTCCAGTTCTGCCCCATCCTGCCCGCCACAACTCTCGTCGTAACTGCTGGCCATGCGGTGACGTTGGTTCATGGAGCCGCGCAGACGGCCCTGCTCTTCCACAGCTAGGAGGCCCACAGGTTTCCCGGGGTCAGTGTTCGCCCGTTTACAGTTGAGCGATGGCTGTGCTTTGGATCCCTGTCTTAAGTCAAGTGATGGGACACAGGGGAGAAGATATTGGCAGATTAAGCTTTTTTGCACATCTTAATGCCACGAGCTGCATGGCACAGGGATGGAATCGGGGGTGATCTCTTTGAAGCAGGGGTGGAGTCTGGGGAAGGAAGATAAAACAAGTGAAATTACTCTTAAAAGGAATGCGTTACTATTCACAGCAACAATCAGGAAGCAGGGCTAATGTTAAAAGTGATCGATAAATAGACAAAGACAAACTATCCATTACAATGAGAGTGACCATCACTATTATCTGATCAGACGGTCTTCCATCTCAGTGTTGCGAAAATCAACACCAAATAAAAAAGCACAATAGTACAAAGGAAATATGTTTTTACATTCATTTTTTTACACACAGGCAGTAAGCTATCATTTCCCAGGGGATTAGACAACTGTGATCGCTTTCAAATTTGTATGGCTCACATTAAAGGTAAAAATATAGCTCTGGGGACGTTACTGAAGCCGCTTTTGAGTCCACACATCCCCAGGATTAAGTCACAAAGATATTTCTCTGAATGTGAAAGTTTTTGATCCCTCATTTAGCTCAATCTTTACATTTGAACATACACACGTGAGGCAGACCATTCATTCACTGAAGAAGATATAGGACAAAAACATCCAATGCTTCCTTGCTTGGGAAAAAAACAAACAACACATTTCATTTGGATCAAAAATATCTAAGGTAAACTATTTAAACCCTGCCTAGCAAAAACACTTCATATTAAAGCTCTGCTTTAATAAGAAAACGTTGAAGGTAATTGCTGAAGGTGTATGACACAGAGAAACAGAACCAGTCATGGCCAGAGTTGATCAGAACTACACTACGGAGGGATTAACAAGGCGATTTTAGCTAATCTATTACCTTCTGTTTGACCTTTCTGGGTTTCAGTTGGAGCCTAACAATAACAATGAGTACAAACTGTCAACTGCAGAAGAATCATTAAATCTAGCAGCAGTAAACAAAGGGGTAGATCCATAGGATAGAAGTGTGCGTTTGTACTTAATTTATGGAGCTGAGAAATCACTGACATCTAAAAGAAACTGTGTCCGATGGCTACAAAAAAGTCCTGTTCTGTCCGTTGGGTTATATCAAAATTGAAAAAAAAAGAGAGAGAGGGCCTTTCCTTCTGTCCGGTGTCAGGTTGCGGGGATTTATGTAAGTTTTGTAAATTTCACTTTTTGTCTCTTCTTCACCCTTTACGTAAGTAATTTTATGTAACTTTGGACATTTTTGAGGAAAGTTATTCATATATCAAACCGAAAAAATATACACAAAAATGAAATAGCAAAAATCTTTCCTGTCAAGATGCCCCACTGGCTGTGGCAGAGAGCCAATCAGGTGAGAGTAGTGACCACAGGTAGATTTGACATGGACTACAGTGGGGTTACATTCAAGGCAGATCTAATTAATTTGTTTGTCAAAACACACCCTTCTTACCATATCTTTTTTTCTTTGTTTTTTAACGGACTAAAACTCTTGAGGTAGTTTCTTTCATCAATTGACAAGGCAAATAACATGCATACATATTCAAATGAATTTGTCAGACACAGCAACACAGTGTTATTCGGTGGGATGTAAGATGAAGGGGATGGAGTCCTCCAAGTCTAAAAATCTATCCAAATCTATCAAAGAATCATGTCACAATTTATAAAGGAGGGGAGTTTTTGCCACTTCCTACACAACAGATATGAGTTGGAGGTGCAGTATGCACACCAACAGACAACATCAAGATAAACTAAAAATACTATGGCGCCAAGAGGAGCAAAATAAAAAATACTGTCATGACAAACTTCAAATCTAATCTCAAAAGCAAACCTGAACATTATGCAATAAAGACACTAAATGTATTCTAAAGTGGCAATACACTCACCAGAGTTTTTCACTGAACATGACAAGAAACGAAGGCGGTCAAAAATTAACCAAGGACAGCAACAAATCTCCCATCCGGAAACATATTTCACTTTCAAACATTATAAGCAAATACATGCGCAATACTCAAACAAAGAAAAAATAACAGTATATTAAAACTAAATTCCTTCCAGGAACTCCTTTCACCTTCTGTCTCTAGCTGAGCTCTGGTTCAGAGTGAGCGCTGCTACTCCCTTCACATTAGCACAGATCTCTGGCATTATACAACCCTGCTCCAGTCACATGGATTTGCTCAGCACAGAGCTGATGGCCCTGTTTCATAAAACTACATGCGTTTTCCTGCAACTCATAACTCAGGTGCATTTCTGTTTGAGTTAAACTTAAAAATGAGATAACACAGAAATATTTATCAGTACTGTATTATCGATTATATTTGGCAAAGTATTCACCTGCACCTTAAAACATCAAGGAAAACATTCTTAATGTTCAAAAATAGGAAAATGAAAAGAATTCAGATATAGTACCTGCAGGGTGAATCAAGTGTTTTTCATTTCTATTTTTATGCCTGAAGGACACAAGCCCAACCCCAAAATGTAATCATAATGACATAATCTTTTGAGTTATATCACTGTATTAGTTATAGGACAATATAATACACTGCTAGCTATTGATGTGTGACTATATGGACAATATATCGGCCATGTTAAAGGTCAAAATCATTTTAATGGATACCTTATATTTTATTAAATGCCAAGCAATCTTATCCAGATCACATTTCAGTGAGAATATAAATTTCGCATCTATTGTGAGATTAGCTCCATTGCATTTACATATACAGAATGCATATGCTTGCACTGAGCTTCTCTTTGAGGACCTTGAATAGTACTGAGATGGAAATCAGCTTACTGACTGGTCGTTCTGACCCATCTCTGCTCAAATGATCAGATATAACAGATATATCTACAGCTTACCTAGTAAGCTGTAGATATATCTTATATTTTAGTTATAAGAAAATGTTATATTCCGTGTATAAAGAAATAAATGTTCTATTCTTTTGCAAAGAAAACTTAGGGACTGATCTGCCCTGTTTTCTTTAGATATATATCTATTAATATATGACAACGTGTACATTTCCCATAGACATAGTGACATCACAAAATGTGTCGATCGAAGGAAGTACAATAATGCGAATACAACCTAAAAATTATATTTGAAATAGGAAATACCCTCTCCCCCCCCCCGCCCAGCTCCCATTGACCTGCTAGTCACAATCCACACACACGTTGACCTGCAATCCAGTGCACGGTACACTGACACAGTTATGTAAAAGTGACCAAATAGCGCAATATAAGGGACAAAATAAGCAGATCTTACCAAAACATAACTCGGTTAGCAAAATATTACTTTCTTCCACATATCCGAACACAATTATAAGTCCGGCCGGTATTTCTTGGTTATAAAAGTACAATAAGTAGAGCAAGCTCGATCTTGGCGCATGCGCACATGCCAGTTTTGTTATGCAACATATTTTTTGAAGTTGGATTTTAATTCGTACAAGACGTGAATAGTTAAAATACAAGCAGTCTCACCTGTGATTTCGAAGCAAAATTCTTCTCTCGGTCTGGAAAAAGTGAAGCCGACAGGTGAATAACTCATTTGCTAGAGAGATCCAGCAGTCCTGAATGGGAGTCGGCTACAGACTGGTTGACACAGTAGTGGGGGGTTCCTCCCCGGCTCTCTCCGGCAAAACGGGACTGACGAATCAGAAAGCTCGCCACATGACCTCAATTCAAACTCCTCCCACTACTTTAGTCCATTGGCTGCACGCTACGGGTTTCCATGGAGAATGTTACGGAACAGCAACTGAGAGAGCTCATTTGTCCAAAGTGCTGTCAATCGTTTTATATAAACAATTCATTCATTGCACGTGGAATATCATGTTGTGTGTAACATGGGACGACGTAGCAAACAGTGACGAGTGTGCAGAGTTGCAGAGCTGGAAAACAACGTGTCGATTTGACATTACATAAACGAAAAAAATGTCGGGAGTAACGAGAAAACGGAACCAAACACTGTTCATAACTCCGGAAGTTCGTATAAGACAAAGCGCTTCTAAAACTGCAAACACATGGGTAGAATGTCATGTTACGACTCAAGAAAGACTCTATGCACGTATATGTGCATGGAGTTGTTCCCGAGATGTACCTTTATGTCATATAGGTTCCACTAAGACTTCTCAAAAGGCTAAGCGACGAGCTACCATAGTTACCTTCTGCACAACTACTATAAATCAATACACTCCAGTGCACGGTTTGAAGCAGACAAAAAAATAGCATCTACAATTAGAATATTATTAATCGATTTCCTTCATTTTGCAACATCATAAGTAAACCTTGGATTAGCTTGGCTTTGACATTGTAGGATCACTGAGCAGTTCCTTTAGCAGCAGGCTGTTACACCCACGGTGTTCAATTCATTTTAATATCTTAATGCTCATCTTATTTTTTAAGAACTGTCACTTGTAAATTACCTTTATTCATTTTGTTCTGTTGTAAATAACCTTTATTTATTTATGCCTCCACTGTGCTTGTGCTTTTTCCATATTTTCTGCTGTATTGTGTAAATTTCCCAACTATGTATTCTATTGTAGGGAAAGTCTTGCCATCACAGTCTGTTGTACGTTAGGTTGAGCACAGATCCCCCCCCCCCCCCCCCCCCTGCCGGGCTAGTCACAACACCATATTTTTCATCTCTTGCGCCAAGAGCCTGTCTAGAATAGCTCAGTGTGGAAATAATGGGTCCCTGAGTTGTTCAAGTGCCAGGTCTGAGTTGCAGCCTCACAAACCCCTGCGGGGATGTCTCTTCCGCCTCAACAGTCCATGCTGTTAGCCTGATGACGCTTAGCCTCACTCAGTAGGACGTGTGAAGAGTCCTTCTCGTCCACCCACTTTATCTGACTAGGTGTTACCGTGATCCCACCACACCTAGGCTATGCCCCCCCCCCCAAAAAAAAATAAAAAAATCAAATCAATGTGTGTGTTTGACACACCTATGACTGTCGCACTGACGATCACGAGGATCGAGCAAGAAGGATAACGGTACGCGTGATCAAGCCATTCAGGATTTAGCTTCGCCATCCTTTTTACACCTCTTCCGATGGCAGCTGCAGAAGCAGACTGGAGGAAGTCAAAAGTGGGTGGAATTCCCATTTCAAAAGTGACTCACAGATTGGGAGTTATGTGTGTATGTATGTATGTATGTATGTATGTATGTATGTATGTATGTATGT